ACAGCGACTAAATCCGATTAATCGGTTCAGTATCGAAGAATATATCGGCTCGATTAAAGAGAGGAGTCGGGATAGAGTGAAAACAGACATGAGTTTGGATCGGTACCTGTTGAGGGGCCTCCTGAGGTCCAGTTGTTCTGGTCCAAACCGGTCCAGGCCTTCGGTTCCCTGCAGGAATAAAATCCTCCCAGAATCGATTAATCACATTATGGTTTAATTTTTGATCTTTTTATGGATTATTTTGAGGAAGGAGACTTTTTGTAATATGATCTTTTTTTTTTACCTTTTATAAGTTTTACTTATTAAATGTAGAACAGGCCTTTTTTGTAAGTACCTCTCTTATACTGCTTTTATCTGGAGCCTGTAAGTGTTTCATAAAGTACGAAACACAAACGAAAAGAACATTTTTTTTTGGGCTAGCAAAGATTTTTCCACAGATTTAAAACAAAAACATTACAGATTAGATTAACACGTTTTGGCCAAAATGTAAATCATTAGTTTTCTTGATTAAATATTTACAAAAACTTAAACTTATCCGGTGAAAATTATCCTTTAAAAAGCTCAATTAAGAGCTATAAATTGTTTTCTGCTGATATTCAGATTATTCCCGTTTTTAATCCTTTATGCTTTGAGACTTTTATTTTGAAGGCGTATTTTAAGCCTCGAACAGGATGTAGAAAAAACCGGCGGCCTAAATAAACTTAATATAAATAATACTAAATTATATAAACTAAACTTGTTGGAACAGAATCTCTGCTGACTAAAGACAGCTGAGTGTTACAAAGTCACAAACAGAAGTTAGTTTAGTCACTATTTCGGGAAGATAATCAAAAAACAGAAACATGTTTTATTAAACTGTTTATTTAAATGTAACTTCACATCACTTCCTCATTTTGTATCATGTGACACCAAAGTAACCAATCAGAGGCTGGGATCATTTTTCACTTTACTGAACACATCTACATGAACAATAAAAGGATAAATAACTTTTAAAAGACCAAATATGTAAAAAGTCTGTTTTATTCTGAACAAATAACCTTTAAAAACAGATTTAAATTAGTTTTTACTTCCTAACTTTGCAGTTTGCTGCCAAATTTAACAAGTTCTATTTTTTTATGGTACAAAACTTGAAAACCAGAACCAGAACCAGAACCAGAATCTGTTTATTGTCCCAAAAGAGCAAATTTTTTGTTGCAGCAGGAGAACACAAAGACAGGGAACACAATGACAATATAGGAGGAACAGACTCAAAGTCTAACATGATTTAAAAAAAACAGCAAACATTCAAGATCACTAACAAAATAACGTTCAGTCCAGAGTCAAGACTGGAAAATAACTGTCCTAACAAACTGTGAAAAGTGCAGAAATGCAATAAATACAGCAAAGAAGAACATGGACGACCTGAGGCCTGATTAAGTCAATGAATAACTGAGATCTGAAATCTGTTAGTCCTCCTCAGAGAAACAAACACAGACTAAACGTCGCCACAACAGCGGCGCCGTTCCATCGAGGAGCGAGGTCGGTTTCTTAGATTTGGACTTTAACATTTTAGAGGAATAAACTTCCCGACTCTGTGGAGGCGGTTTGACGTGTTTCTGTTTTGTTGGAATCAGCAGTTTTTAGTGTTTTTTTTTTCTGTGTTTACCACGACTCAGTCTGACTTCTTGACGCATTAATCCCACCTGGACTGTGAATCTGACTCTCCTCAGTACTGTTACTTTCTATCAGGGGTCACAGCGTATTCAGACTAAATCTTTGGTGTCTTCCTTGTCCTCACCACACAGATCAGATTACAGGCTGTACATGAACTCACTTTAACACACAGGTGGTCTGCAGATCTTCAGCGATGACTTCATGCAGGTTAGAGGAGAGGAGAGAGCAGAGGAGTCCGGTGTGGTCGAGTTTCTCCCTGCAGGCTCCGGTCTGTGAAACCAACATTTGTCCTCCTGTTTGTGAAGGAATGTAGATGTTGTTTCTGTGAATCATAGGAGCAGCCTGTAGCAGGAGCTCTTTCACCTCCTTATTTCTGCAGAGGAGCGGACTAAACCAGAACCTAGATCAGTGCTGTTGATCAGTCAGTTAACGTAGACCCACCATCCCCTGACTTCTCGATGTGTCTGTGCCACAAACAAACCACCTCACAGAACAAAACAACATCTTTTATTGGCTAAGACGAAAAAACCAGGTGAGTGTCGTCACACCTTTCCAGAAGAAGCTTCATACACAGAAGCAGGTCCGTGTGGCACACCTGGACTCACCTGAGAAAGATCAGAGTATCTTGAGTATGCTGGGCTGGACCGGTGTGAAGGTGTGAGGCAGAATAACTCGGTGTGTCTGAGCGAGTCCTGACAGAATAATTCATGAAGTGAATGTGAGGTTGGATCAGTTTGTTTGAAGATCAGCGATATTTACCAACTCCAGAGATAAACCAGGCAGAGATCCAACAACAACACCATCGTCTTTAAGACTGCAGGTCTGAAAACAGATTCAACATCAACAATGGAGGACCGGATCTAGAGAAGAAGAAGTTAGGATCAGATCTGAACAAGCTCGATGTTTTTATGTTTGAGAACATCCTGAAGACTGAGGCTGAATACTATCAGGATGTACCGTCAAAGCAAATTAGAAATACAGCAGCTAAGATAACTGTGAGAATTTATTAACAATGTTTTTATGTACAACACACTTAGAGCGACATGAACCCTTCGACGTTGTTCGATAGTGAACATTTCTAGAAATAGAAAATAACTGAATCGACTGTTTTTGAAAATATTTACCATCAAAAAGACAAAGAGACACGAGACCAAAGGAGACGCCTGATAATAACAGAGTAGAGTATGAAATAGTTTAAGTCATAAAGTTATATTATATGAGGAAACAGGCCGACTTTAGAGACTATGACTGAGATAAACCTTTACTGCAAACATGTTTACTGCACAGACGGATCAGCTGTGGTCATGTCAAAGGTTCTGGTCTTGGTTCTGGTCTGCCTCTCCATCATGGTGGTCCAGCTGAGTTTGTTTCTCAGCCTGTAAATTTACATCAAAGTTGTTCGATCTGGTCTGACTGAAAGGGGGGCTGCAGGCTGAGCTGCTGCTGCTGACTTTAGCTTGTCCACATGATTATTGTGGCCTCAGTTTTGGTAAAGGCAGATAAAGAATCAGAATCAGAATCAGAATCAGAATCGCCCTTATTGTCAGTTATACACAGTAAAATGAAATTTGAACACCACCCCCTTTGGTGCAAAACAATAGTAATAAATAATAATTAAAATGAAGCCGTTTAAAAACACAAAGATAAGAATAAGAAAAGTAAAACAGGAATGAAAAACCTGATTATTGCACAGTTAAATTATACATTTATTCCACTGTGATCAGTGTGATCTGTATATATGTTGGTTGAGGCGGACGGGTTCAACTGGACTTGATGTTGTTGACTGCAGTGATCGCTCTCAGGAAGAAGCTCTCCCTGAGTCTGTTGGTCCTTGTTTTGTGTGACCTGTACCTTCGGCCCGACGGTCTAACAGGTGATTTCCGGGGTGGTAGGAATCCTCGATGATGATGCCGTCTCTGCTCAGGTAGTGAGAGTTGGCAACGTCCTCCAGGCTGGGCAGAGGGCCGCCTGTGATCTTCTGCTGAACATGAACACAAAGAGAGTTTATCAACAGTGAGCGTCAGCGTGTCGGCTGTATGGAAGTCTTTTGTTGGAGACAGTAACTCAGGGTTTTGGTAAAACCTCTGTGTCGTTCATCCGTCCTGCTGTGGACTGAAGTGTGTCTAAGTTCGGTTCTTGCAGATGTTTGTTTGTCTTCCACTCAGGTTAAAAACTGCAAACGCGGCTGTTTTGTTTCTTATCTGTAAAACTCTCTCATGATTATCAACCTAAATTTGGTCTCCATCCTCGCTTTGATGGCCCAGTCTACTCCTATAGCTGGACTCCTCCTCCTCTTTCTCCTTCTCCTCAGAAATGGAGTTGGTAAAGTTTCCACACGTCCTAAATTAAATGGAGTGAATCTAATTCCTGCAGGTTGATTAAAAGCAGGCTTGTTAAAACTCCTGCTGCTGCTAATGCAAACATTTCTCTCTCTCTGTGATTGTGCGTCTCTCTGGAAGTGTTTCCGGGAGTTTGTTTTGTGAGCTCAGAGGGATCAGCAGTAAAATAACTGTGAAGGAGGAGGAGGTTTGGAGGAGCTGAAGCTGCTGTCTGCTGGGATGTTTGGAGGCTTTCAGACCAGCTGATGGAGCTGATGGAGCTGATGTTTCAACAGCAGCTTTACACAGGAAGCTGCAGGATTTCAGGTTCACGTGCACTAAATTTACCTCTTTGTGTGCGTGTGTTTGTTAGCGTGCACACACATACACACACACACACACACACCGTAAAACTTCTTCCTCTGTTTTCTGGCCCGGGGAGTCTCGCGGTGGTTTGCTAATTGCCAGACAAATCGCTCTCGCCTTCTTCTCTTTTTTTCTTCTTCCCTCTTTCCTCGTTGCTGCTGCGAAATTTATTATTCTGGAGAGCGCGAGGAGCCGGGGAGGTCACGGTGCAGGCGCGCGGGCTGCAGGAGGAGGTCGTCACGAGAGATATATGGCTGCCAGGCTTTTACTACTGCAGAGAGAGAGAGAGAGAGAGAGAGAGAGAGAGAGAGAGAGAGAGAGAGAGAGAGAGAGAGAGAGCTATTTAAAAGTGGACGTGAATTAAGTATTAAAAAGAGAGAGCCAAGATAATGGCTGCCAAGATGTAACAGGAGCACACTTTAAAAAAACAGACCTGACCGTGAGAGGAATAAATATTCAATAAAATAATCAAAACTGGAGTTTAGAGTCAGAGAATCAACAGATAAACCAAAGTTAGAGTTTATCCTCTTTAAAATTTCATCAACTCTCTTCACTTTACGGTAAATAACCAACTAAACCCATCATGCATTTCCTGTTCTCTTTCTTTTTTTAAATAAAGGTTAAAAAATCTGTTCATGCAGGATTAAAAACACAGTTTCCGGTTTAAAGTTTGGGTCTCTGACAGGAAGAGGCTGCGCACTGAGCTGCTGAGAATGATGCTAACCCTGATGTTTCCTTTCTCTGACCAGTTCGTTTTTTCTTTTTATTCTTTGAACAAACCTGGCAACCCAAATCTCCTGTCGTCCTGAATTACAGTATTTTACCGTTAAATACCTGATCCATGATCAATACTTTGATTCTTTAGCTCTTTGACAGTCTGATGATGCTGTATTTAGTCTGTCCGGCCTTCATGCAGCAGCAGCAGCACAGCTCTCACACACTCATGTATATCCGGAACATGTGATGATGAATCTTCTCTTCTCTCCGTGTGACTAATGGAGCAGCTTTGAGTCACAGCGTCCTGATACTCGAGTATTAAACAAACCGTCTGCCCCTCTTTACCTTTTACTTATCAATATCCGCGTGACAAACACGCGCTAACCGCTGTTACATCATAAACACACACACACACACACACACACACACATCAGTCTGCCTCATCATAAATCTCTTCACACTGTTTGTCTGAGTCTGTTAAAGTTTTGATTTAACATTAAAAATATTTAATTATGAAAACAGGAAGTCATTTTAATCAGTGATAACAACTATACTCTGATTGATAGACTTTATAGAAACACTGGATTAACGTTTTTTAAAATTTATTTTATATTTATTTTTTCTTCATTCAAACAGATTTAGTGCAGAATTCACAGCTGATCCTGAAAACTCCACTAATGCTCATCTGAGTTTAAAATTGATCAGTGTTTACTTTTATGAACTTGTGACCAATATCACAAATATTTTTAACATTTTTTAGAATAATCCACATTTCAACCAAAACAGACATGCGCAGAATTGATCTGCAGATTATTAGTCTGTGTGATTTAATCCCTCAGTTTAGAATCTCACTTCAATCCAAGATCACTTTAAAAAAACTGAGATGATAAAAAAAACTATAAATAAAATCTATAGAAAGAGTTATTGATCAGCAGTGGATCAGTTTGAAGGTCCCTTCTCATCGATCCTGTCAGTCTGGACCTCTGAACCAGTTCACTATCACGAAATCATAATACACATTTATAATAATGAGCGCGTGCATATGTCTTCAAGAAAGCCTCACGTGCTGTTGGTTATCGATCAGGATTGGTCTTTTATTGATCAGAAACAGAACAATAAAAAAAGGCCAAAGAGGATCTCAGCTCAGATCCACGGACTTGGTGTGTGTGTGTGTGTGTGTGTGTGTGTGTGTGTGTGGGGGGGGGGGGTGCCTCATGTCTCGCGCAGAAGAAGCATATATTTCAAAAACCGGTTGTGCGCGTGCTGCCGGCGCGAGACAGATTTACGAGCCTCAGTAAAAGGAAGAGATGTCTGAGCTGCTAAATCAATCTGCCTCTCTCTACAACTGTTTCCGTCTGAGTGTCTGAGTATAAAAATAATAATAATAATAATAACGATAATAACGATAATAATAATAATAATAATAAAAGCTCGTTATTTTCTGGTTTTATCCTCTTTATTCCCACATTTTTCTCCCTCTTCCCTCCGAACAAAGACCGTTTTTTTCTCAGTTTCTGTCTTTTCTTCAGACTCTTTAATCATTAACGAGAGGAAGAATCTACCTGTCCTAATCCATCACAGACCAGCAGACCCCCAAAGACCTCAAACATCACTTCACACTTTTTATTCCACACTCTGTCTAAAAGCCTTTAAATTAGTTTTTAAATACCAAAGAATAATTTGAATTTTAATGATTTTTTTTTGCAAATTTTTGTAATAATTTTGTTTCAGATTTTACAGACTTTGGTTCAGATCACTAAAACACCTCCCCTGGTTCCTGATGTCTGATCTTGAGCCTCTCTCTCCTCCTGTTTTGTCAGATTTCACATGTTTTGGATCTTGATCTCCTTTTTTAAGTGTGCGTAACAGCTCGGCGCTCCTCTGTGCCAAGTTTCGACAGAGCTGGTTTGTGTTGCTGCTGTTGTCAGGCCGGCTGCAGGTCTCTCTGCTGCTGCTGCTGCTACTTATCTTTGCTGTTGTTTCACACTGTGATTGTGATAATTTATGGCCGTCATTACAGACGCCATCATCACCACCGCAAATGTTTGATTTCAATCTTGTTGTGGGTAAAAATCTCAGGGAGGCAGAGTGTGAAGAGGACTGAGTCTTTGTGGTTTAATTTAAAAACATTAAAATCAAACAGAGAAAATAAATAAATGGATCAATAAACGAGCAGCAGCAGCAGCAGAGATAATGGTTCTCCATGTTTGTATTTTTAGAAACTGTCCGCTCAGACCTCAAACAAACACTCCTGTCTTTAATTGCTCCTCTATTCCTCCTCTCTGATTGGTCTCCTCGTCTCTGATTTGTTCAGTATTAATAAAAATTAACGCGTTTAGCTTTAATGATCTGTTGGTATTTTTAGAGAAGCTCGGATACCTGCAGGCAGCAGAGTTAGCAGCTCCTCTTTCTTTGACCTTGAAGTGTTTTTGTTGTTTTTTTAGCAGCTAGGTTAGCTCTGCTCCGGAGCCTCGCGCTCCATTGTTCAGCTGGAGGCGTCTCGAGCTCTGGAACCGGGAGACCGTGCGCCAAAAGGACTCCAACGGGCTATTGTTGGTGCCCCTCACGGCTCGGCCTCACGGCGGGGGGGAGGAAGGTCTCTCCGCTGCTGCTTCTTCGTCTGTCTCTCCCTCCCTCCTCCTTTCTTTCTTTGTCTCAGACTTTCTCGCGCTCCTACCTGCTCTAATAAATAAAATCTTCTAAATTAATAACTCGACCCACGAGGAGAAGGATTTTATAAACACATATCCAAGTCCAAATCCAGTTCAGGCGGAATATTTGACTCGGAGAGGAAATTTTTAGATTTTTTCTCAAATTTTCTGTGCGTAAACGTCGATTCTGGTTTTTACGCACGGATCTGAACTTGATTTAATCTCTCTGAAAATGTTTTTTTTCTCTCTCTTTGTGATTATCAAATATTAATTTAATCTCTCCTTTTTCTTTTTTGTTTATTAAATATTATTTTAATCTCTTTTAACTGTAAAAACAAGAACAAACTCTTTCTTGATTCGCAGCTTTCAGATTAAATCTCCTCCTCTGAGTCTGTAACGAATATTCTCTAACAGGCAGAAACAGATTCATTGGAATATTAGTCGGGACAAATCTGAGGAATTCCCTTTTTCCTCTGCGGCTCCGAGGACGAACGGGAGTGTGAGGAGGAGCTGACAGTGAGGAATAACCGAGAGAGAGGGTTCGGGGCGAGCAGTCATTTTTTAAAAACCGAACAGAGTCGGTGACAATCATCTTTTATCGCTCTCTCTGTGCGTCTGTCAGGCCTACCTGCTTTACCTTACACTTTATGACACACACACACGCACACACACCTGCACACACGCACACACACACACAGTTACACAGCAGTCAGTGAGGGGCTGAAAGGTGAACACAAGTGCTCTCCTGCTGTTTTTAGCCTCATTTTTTTAACTCCATGGAGCAGCAGCACGCGGATCTCCTTCTGCACGCGCTGGTCCGGATGGGTCCCACAAACAGAGATACCCCCCCCCCCTCATCATGTGCACCCCCAACCCCAACCCCGAGTCACGTGCTTCATTAAATAATTAATGCAGAGGTTGCAGAATAGATATGTATTCGTCAGGAATAAAACACACACTGCTGCTCCTGAGTGTGTGTGTGTGTGTGTGTGTGTGTGTGTGTGTGTGTGTGTGTGTGTGTGTGTGTGTGTGTGTGTCTGACGTCGAAATTCAACTGTCCCCTCAAAAAAAAAAAGAAATACAAGCCCCCCTATAGCAGCGGAGAGAGGGGGGAGAGAGAGAGAGAGAGAGAGTGAGAGGAGAGGAGAGAGAGAGAGAGAGGGGGGAGAAGAGGAGACACTGAGGAACGCCAACGAAGAGAGAGAGAGAGGGAGAGAGAGAGGGAGAGAGAGAGAGAGAGGAAGAGAAAAGAGAGAAGGAGCTGCAATAAAACAAATTTGGACGGGTGTGCGTCTTGCGGGTCGTTGTGGACACCGTGAGTATTGCGGAAGGAAGAAGGGGACTGCATGGGGGGAGACCACCACACTACTACTTCTTCTTCTTCTTCGTCTTCTTCTTCCTCTTCCTCCTCATCTCCTGCGCCGCTGCGCCGCCTGCGCCCTCGTCCCTCTCAGTGAATCATTCTCCCACCGTGGTAAATATGCCCCCCAAAAAATCATCCCATCTTTTTCTGCCTGTTTTCTCATCCTGCATGTTGCTGTCGTGTTGTTTACACATCACCCCCCACCCATCATCATCATCATCATCATCAGCGGCAGCAGCAGCCATTGTTTATGGGTCTGAGAGAGAGGGAGAGAGGGAGAGAGGGAGAGCGGGGTTAGCCGATGGCTGTTTATATTTTCAGGAGCACGCGGATATTCTCCTCCATCTTCCTCCCATCAGCTCCTGTCTGCCTCCACATCTCTCTCTATCTGCCTGACTCTCTGTCCATCCTCCTCTCTCACCCTCTCTCCCTCACTCCCTCTCTCTCTCTCCTCTTCCTCCTCGCGCAGCCAGCTCCATCTCGTGATTTATGTTGAGGCAGGGTGTCAGCGTGCGGCCGCGGCTGCCATTGTGTGTTTGTGAGGGAGTGCTGTTGTTTACGGTGCCGCGCGCGATAAATCATGATTCCTCCTCCTCCTCCTCCTCCGCTGTGAGGAGAAGAAGAAGAGGAGAAAAATGACGGTCGATGGAGCGATGATACACCGGAACGAGGAAGGAGAGGACGGAGAAGAGGAGGAGGAGGAAGAGGAGGAGGTAGAAGAAGTCTCGCCTCTGCCGCCGCCGGCTCCTCTCCTCCCGGCTCTCCTCCTCCTCCTGTTCCGGCTCCTCTTCCTCCTTCCTCTCCATGCCCTCACACACCTGATTATTACTCTCTCGCTCTCTCTCCCCCTCCTCTCTCTCTTTTCTTCTTGAATTACTGCGGAGACCAATTAACGGGAGATTTGTTTAAATCTGCCTCACCGGGGCTCGCCTCGGCCGCCATGAAATCTCATAAAAACAGGAGAAACTCTCATCCATCAGCCGGGAGGTGAGAGTCAGGAGCTGGAGCTGTTAGAGACGCGGGTTCGAGCTCAGCCATGCAGGGCCTGCTCTGGACAGGAGCTTTGCAGGGACAAACAGAGCAGCTTTGGAAACCTTTCACCTGTTAGAGACTGAGTGTTTAACTTTGAGTTTAGTAGAGCAGACTCTCTTCTCCTCCTCTTCTCCTCTCATTCCTCCTCTCCCAGTTTCTCCTGTTTTCTTTGGAGGACTGCTGGAATGGAGCTCAGCGCCATTTTTCATGTCAGCACTCAGTGTCTCTGTCTTTGCTCAAATCCTTCAACGTGAATTCTTCTTACTGTGCAGGAAAACAACATGCAGACATTTGGGGGAGTTTCCCTCCTTCTTTGAAAAACTCTCTTATATTTATTATTTCTAATGTTTTCTTCATTCACGTCCTCAGTTTGTGTTTCAGTCTGAGCAGGAAAATCTGACTAAAGGACATTTGGAGCTTTGAGAGGTTTGCATGGAGTCAGATAATTTCATGAGAGTGTGTGTGTGTGTGTGTGTGTGTGTGTGTGTGTGTGTGTGTGTGTGTGTGTGTGTGTGTGTGTGTGTGCTGCAGGTTTGGTGTGGAGTCAGCAGGTAACATGAGCAAAGTGCAAGAAAAGGAGTCAGAGGAGTCAAAGATGGATCAGATATATTTTTATTTAAACACAAAAACAAACATTTATTCTGCAGGACAATTACAATAATAATCATAATAATAATAATAATAATAATAAATAAGAACTGGGTGGGTTAGTTCACCGGAATCATTTCCCAATCCCATTTCCTTGGCTGAGTTCGTCTCCTCCTCTCTCTCTCTGTCTCCCCCCTCGGCCATCTCTACCTGTGTAAACCTCAGTGTAACCAAATTACCGCGTCCCCTCGTCCTCCCATCACGTAATAACAGCAGCAGCAGCTCTTCTCTAAATGTGTATTCTCTCTGTCCGCCGCCGTGTCACAAACAATATCCCGCCTCATTTCTGCGGACGGAGACAGAGAGGGGGAGTGACAGCCTCTCCTTCCGCCTTTTTTCATATATATTTAAATATTTTTCCCCCTCTGCCTATCTCGACCTCATATCTGATTTGTGTGACAGGGGAAGAGCTGGAAACACATTTCCTCACGCCTCTGCGGGCGCCTGCAGGCACAGGAGGAGTGTTTTCTGCTCCGAGAGGCGAAAGTTAAAAGAGGAGAGCTCAGCTGACTCCAAAAATTAGTCAAAGAATAAAATAGTCCTCCGTCAGCCCCGTGAAGGGAGCAGGCGGAGGTTTATCTTATCTTATCCAGGCATGTGTCCACGGCTGAGTGTGTTTGTGTGGGAGATAGTTCCACATCAAACCGGCTGAAATAGTTCAAATATTTGGATCGGTGTTGAGAAATGATATCAGGCTCAGTTTGACATCCATTAAAGCTGCAGGAGGGAGGGCAGGAGGCCTCTGCCTGCATCCAAACAACACACAGATCTACTCCTAACACTCCTACTGCTGCTGCTGCTTCACTCTTCTCTCTGCTCCTCAGATTAAAAGCCTCCTCAGTCCCAGAAAAGGTGCGTTAATGTGTGACTTTAGGCTCAGCAGCTCCTCTCAGACTCTTGGAGTCAAATTAATGTTTAGCTGCAGAACAAAAGCAGCTTCATGAGGAAACGGTCCTGACCCACAATCAGACTTTCTCACTTTAAACAGATCTGTGGACTATCAGAGCAAAGGCTGCTAAAGACAATTCTCCTTTAATATTTTCCCACTTAAGTTTTTTCTTCTACTAAATTTAACTCTAAAATAAACCACCATGCTCCTTTAAATCTAAATGTATTATCAGTTTTATTTTTACCCGTTTCAGTTGTCAGCAGAAATGTAGAAAAACGTGTCTTTAACGGATTAAATCTCGCGCGTAAAAACTCACCGAAATGAAACATCTCTGTGTCTGAAACCTCCGTTTATTATCTCACTGCAAACCCACGCGTCTGAAGCAAACAGGCACGCGGACAAGACTCCACACGAGTCGCATCTTCCCACTCACTACATACAACGACTGGCAGCCATATTGTCTTCTCCTCTGTTCTTTTCCCACGCAGGAATAAAAGGTCGACAAAAAACACGGAGTGAGAATCACGAGAAAAAACGGTTAATTAAGATAAAAACAGGAGTGACACTTTGTTCAATCAAACCTATCAGAATATCACGTGTAATAGTTTTATATTTAATAATTATATATTTATATTTTAAGACTATTTTTACTCTCGTTTGAAGCAGATTATAAAACTCCATTGAATCAGGAGGACAAATCTGACCAATCCAAACATCCAAAGTGCAAAGACGTTTTTAAAATTATTATTCTGTAAGTGAATTTAATCAAACAAGTTTTTAATCGTTAGTTTTATGTCTTTAGGATCAAGTAGGTCAATAAATTCACGTCTAAAATAAAAGACCGTATTTTAGACATAAGGAACATTTTTCAGACGTATTTTATGAAGCTGTTTTTTACGCAAATTTGATAATAGATTTACTTTAAACCTGCAGAAATTTACTGTAAAAAAAGAAGCTAATTACACATTAAAAATACATTTAAAAAAAAAGAGCTGCAGTGTCGAATTTACCGTCTCAGCTCTCCTTATTGTCGCTCCAAGCTTTAGTCAGAAACGGCGTTTATTCCCAGAGTTTTACGCATGAACGGAGATCTTCACTCTCTGGACCAAAATCTGCTGAATTTTTACCAAAAAAAAAAAGAGGGAGAAAAAAAACTGAGGAGAGCAGCGTGAGGTTAAAAAAGGACCGGAGCAGAAGTTCTCACATAAATCAGAGAAACGCTCGGCCTCATAAATCTGCAGCTGCTGGACGTTAACGAGCCAAAGATTAAAGTGAAGGAGAGAATAATGTCAACAAGAGAGAGAGAGACTTTACCTCAGCGAGCTAACGAGAGGAGAGACAACAACACGACAGGACATATAACTGTTATTATCATTATTATTATTATTATTATTATTATTATTTCCTACATTTGCAGTCTGCAGAGCTCCTCTCTCGTGCTCCACTCGCCAGGTATTTCCGGGGCTTTTCCTCGCGCGGAGATGATCACCCGTTCGGAAATAAATCAATAAGAAGCCTCGCGCTAATTTATAATCGTCCGCGCGAGGCCATTGATTCAACGCGCGTGAAAAATGAGCCGCTGAACCCGTATCCAGAGCCCGCGAGCTGATTCTTTTTTTTTCTTAACCCGGACCGGAGCGGCGTGCACGAGGCTGATAAGACTAAAGTGCTGAGGCGGAAATGTTTCCACGAGGACAGGAGCAGCAGGAGCGCGAGCGATTCTCTCTTCTTTTATCAAAACTAAAAACACGGACTCTGATTTGCTGAAATTGAACTTCTCTCTTTCTCTGTCCTCGTGCTTTATCTCCCTCACTGTCCTGAGTGCGCGTGTGTGTGTTTGTGCGTGTGTGTGTTTGTGTGTGGCAGTAAAGGCCTGTCGATATGCGTGGGTAGGGACCGTAAATACACAGACAAAAGCAGGGAGAGCGCGAGCAAAGCCAAGTGCACGTTAGAGATTTATCAAAAGTCTAAATTTAACTCTGATATCGCGAGAACTGAGGCGCCAAAACACCAGCAGGAATAAAGATTTACGATCGAGAATTATGTCGAGAGATTTCTCACGATCTTCCTCGACATGAACACAACAAACGGCCCAGCCCTTCAAAATAAAAGCCCAATTTTCTCCTATTATTGTTGTCCTCTCTCTCCTGACCTCTGGGTCTGTTTTTTGGTTTTATATTTTAACTCTTTAAAATCAGTTTCTGTTCAAATCTCTAATCTGACCCGGATGTCTGGATTTCCATGAACCCCCCTGTTGTCTGTGTTTCTCATGTAAACAAGTCCAAACCTCGCGGAAACAGCTCTGTGCGCTCGCGGGTCAGATCTCAGCGGACTGTCTCCTCTTCCTCTCCTCTCTCGGACCTTCCTCTCCCCTCTTCCTCTCCTCTCTCCCCTCTTCCTCTCCTCTGATCGCTCTCAGTTTGACTCCATGTAATAACCAACATCTGGCCTCGCGCAGCCGGGACGGACAGGCAGGTCACGCTGAACCTCGCCAAACCCCCGCGCGCACCTCAACCAGACTCCCCCTTATTGGACGGGAACAAGAACCAGAACCCCCATCCGCCTCCCCTCCTTCTCCTCCCCAGACTCCCTCTGGCCTGTCAGGCTGTCAGTCCGGAGCCCGGTTCAGGAACAGTTCACGCTGTCAGTGGACCTCCAAAACCAGGACAGGAGAGCCAAAGGTCCGAGGAGGGGAGAAGAGGGTGAGGAGGGGGGAGACTCAGGTGGAGGAACCCAAAGAAGAGAGGTCTGACTACCTGAGGGAAAAACCGGGACATTCTGGTCCAGTTAGCAGAACAAGAAGGAGGAAAATCTGGGCGAGTGTGAGGGGAGGAGGGGAGAGAGGGGAGAGAGGGGTGAGGAAGAAGAGGCTGAAGAAGAGCAGAGGGACTCAGCTCCTCTCTCTTGGGGGAGCAGGGAGAGGAAAGGGTGGAGGAGAGGAAAGACAGAGGTAGAGACAGAGGAGGAGAGCCCGGGGAAGACGGCGTCACGCTCACAACCCTCGGTCTGAGAAAAGGCTCGTGCAGCTCTCAGGGCCCTGCAGAGGAGCGCGAGCTGCTGCTGCTGGCACGGCACGCACCGGCCCCGCTACACGGAGGATTCTGCAGCACGGGCGGAGGGGTGGGGGTTAAGCGCGCGCACGAGGTGTGTTTTTTAGGGGTAAAGTAGCACCGCGAGCCCCCAGACCGAGCAGTCCCCGTCAGCTGGTCTGCTGTAGGTCGACTCTGATGGTTCCGGAGCTCGAGATTTATGGCTTCTCCCGAACCGGGCACGCAAACGTCTGTAGTCCCCTCACCGAGACGACCTCCTCAGCCAAGCAGCACCGGGATTCACGCGCCGAGGAGGAAGAAGAGGAGCGATCAGACTGAAGAGGAAGAGGGTCAGACCGGCTGCGCGTAATTACGCACAACAATCAGAGGAAACGTGTCCAAGATCCCCGGGTCCACGGTGTCCGCACGTGTCCACGACAGAGAGAGAGAGAGAGAGAGGGAGAGAGAGAGAGAGAGAGAGCAGGTAAGGTCCGCCGGGATGCTCCTCGCGCAGTGTCCCGGTGTGTTCCCGTGGCGTCCCCATCCCACGCGCTCCGCCGCAGACATGTCATTAATTATCTGTTGTGTGTGACCGTGGTCTCTCTCTCGAGCTCACAGAGGCATCCGGGGTGTGCCCGCGTGCAGGCTCTGATGCTAGCCAAAAAGTTTTTTCTCTCTCCAGTGTGTGTGTGTGTGTGTGTGTGTGTGTGTGTGTGTGTGTGTGTGTGTGTGTGTGTGTGAAGACAGATGCCTGAGGGTAGGTAACAAACACGCGGCTCTGTCTCTGTTTGTGTGTCTCTCTCAGCGTCATTGAAGAAGTTTTGCAGGAGGTGTGTGTGTGTGTGTGTGTGTGTGTGTGTGTGTGTGTGTGTGTGTGTGTGTGTGTGTGTCTTGTAGTGAATAGGGACCTGACGGCTAGGTGTAAAGAAAGAAGATGCATGTTAGCTGCTCTGTGATTTATGATGGTGTGAAGAGATTGCTTACTCAAGAAGCCGTCCCGTCCCCCTCCCTCTCTCCTCTCCTCTCCTCAGATTGTCATGTCCTCCTTCTCCTCCTTCCCCCCAAAACACACAACAGACCCACAAATGGTCCTACCTGCAAAAACAGATTCCTCCTTTAGCAGATGCATGTGAGGCGCTCATTAATTCACAGTTTCAGTCTGACCCTCATCCAGCCTGACTGTGTTTGTATCTTATTGCAAACTCCTGCAGTCTAAAGTCCATTTAATCGGAGATCTTTAGTTTATAAAAGAGAAATAAAAACACAAATCTAATCATGCATGTGCCGGATTTAAGGATTTAAAGTCCATAATATTACAGAAAGTTTATTAAATATCCGATCACATCCTTGTTTTCTTCTCCTGCTCGTTCTAAACCGACCAGACTTCAATGTTTAGAAATTACTTTATTCATTTTCTCTTCCTTCTTTATCTTCTGAACTGTTTTTAGTTTCATCAGGTTATTTCTCAAGAGCAGAAACAGAGAAGCAGATGTTGTTTTTTGTGCAGTATCAGTGGAGGATGATGAGTTGGGTTAAAATGTTGCTGTTAAATATAAATATCTGGAGTGAGCGGACAGCTCCTCCTGGATCTTGACCTCGTGGTTTTTCCTCTCACTTCCGGCTATAGAGACTTTAAAGTCATGATAAAGCCACAGCGACTCCAACGCAGCCGTGATTTAATTGATTTTTTCATACATCACTGACAGACGATGGGAAAAACACCAATCAGAGTAAAATAGAGGGGCGAGCGCGGCTGAGGCTGAGGCGGTGGATAAAGGCTGACAGGTCTGGCTGAGGTCCATGCGGCCGCTCTGCTGCTCCAACAGGCTGCCGGCCTGATTAGGTTACAATCACAGGCGTCTTTTTTTGATCGCTGTGTCAGGAGATGAGCATGTTGTTAGGAAGCGGATACAGGGTTAGGTTTTTACTCCTGCAGGTTGTTGACGATCAGAGTAATGAGGCCTCAAAGAAACTCAGGAAATCCATTTTAAAGACGACGCCAAACCGCAAAACGACTACAAATACATGCTGGAGAGTTTCTGAACAACAGGCAGTAACTGTAACAGTGAGTCTGTCTTGGGGCCCAACTCACAAAAAGAGATCCAAAACAGTGAAGTGTCCTCCTGTAAACCTGCAGAGGAGCTGTGGAGATGTTCTGCTGCAGAGCTCAGAGTTTTCCTCCAAGTTCTTCTCAAAGATAGATCTGTTGTCACTCTGAACCAAACCTTCAAATCACTGCTGCTGTTTGGGAGTGCAGATTTATCTCAGTGAGGTCAGGTCTGCAGATGCGTTGGTTTCTGGTTCATGATCTGGTCCTTGATTCCTCTCTGTTTCTTTCTCTGCTCTAAAAATTCACACTCTGAATTTGGCTTTTCTCTAAAATAAATATCTAAATATTCATCAGTACTTGTTTTGAATAACCAAACCTGAAGAAACTATCTCAGAAAAAAAAAAACATGCATTTTTTTTTTTTTACGGTTAAAATCCACGTAGAGCTTTTGGTTTGTGTTGATTTTGGCGCCCCCTGTGGTGTTATCTTGCGTGTACCTAACTTCGTATTTCTTGACACAAAAATTCACCTTTCCGTCTTTTAACTGTCAGATTTATTAACTCATCCTGATCATTTCTTTCTCTAAACCCTGATCACTGAGGTTCTGGACTCTTTTCAGACCTCTGAATCGTCTTCTGTCTGTTTTTTGTTCCTTTACGTCTTTGAGAGAAAACTTATTTTTGTCCGTTTTATAACCAGCTGAAAATTTTCTCGAGTGAGCTATGAAAACAGTCAGCGGTCCAAAACAGACGGAGAAGGAATAAAATGTGGAGAATTTCCCTAAAATGATTAAAACTGAACTGAAAGTGAACTTCTTATTAGTGCGACAAAGAAATACGACATTATTTTCTCAATCAGAGGAAAATGTCCAAAATTGTAGTATGAAATTCTAACCTAAATGTCTTTAAATTAATCTGTACAACCAATAAGAAAAACTGAGTTAATGCACAGACTGGTTTACTCAAAGATTTCTGTGTTTTTATGTCGAACTGAAGATGAAATCATGAAGATCCTGAAGAGTGGAATTAAATTTTAGAGATCTGAAGATAATCGAGGAAAGAAAACGTTCAAACGTGGAAAATGTTCAGATTCAAGATGTCTTTGTTTAGGTTTAGCATCACAGCTCAGCTCAGCGCACGCACACACACACACACACACACACACACACACACACACACACACACACACACACACACACACACACACACACACACACACACACAGAGCATTCACATCCATCCCTGTTTCTCTGACGCCTGACAGACTTGGTGAGCTTGGCACTTTTCACGGCCCAGGAGCAGAAAGGGCAGAGTGACCCCCTACAAACACTCATCCCCTCTCTCTTTACCTCTCTCTCTCTCTCTCTCTCTCTCTCTCTCTCTTTACCTCTCTCTCTCTCTCTTTACCTCTCTCTCTCTCTCTTTCTCTCGCTCTCTCTGTCAGGCCTCTCTTTCAGTGCGAGGTTAAAGATTAGCATCTCTGATAAAGATTAACTCTCCGTCAAAGGAAGGCGCTGATCGCAGGAGTTTCTGGTTCAGGATTGTCGGTGACTCGGGGGGCGAGCTCTTCGGGGGGTGTAGATGTGTGACCCTGCCTGCAGCGAGAGAGCGGGGTGAACACCACGTGACAAAACGCTGCGATATAAGATCCGAGGCCTGAAACGTTCGTGTGTGTAGAAATAAGAGGCTCGGTTTAACCGCTCCTCTGACGTCACACGAGCCTCACAGACGCCATGATCGAGGCCTGAGGTGCATTAGTGAGCAGCCATGTTGGTTTTCTGCGGCCACAATAGAAGGTGTTTCAGGAGGCGAAGGATTGTAGGCCCACATCATGAAGAGTGTGACTGAAAAAATGGAGGTCTGCAGACAGAGAGAGAGCTGCTCTTTAGAGGGTTTAAAAGTAGACATCAAAAATATCATCAGTCTGTCACTCAAAGAGGCCACGCCCCTTTTTATCATCCTGATCGTCTACTAAAAGGTCGTATCCTCCGATCGTAGCTGATCGTAACCATTCAAGTTAACGTGTTAATTTACACCGACTTCTTTCCGTTCCTCTGCGGATCGCCGGACTCCTCAGCTGATCACAAGAGTTCTATTTTTTCTGGACGCCGGAGCATGGCGGATAAATTCAGCACAGATTAACCTGTGCTGGAAAGGAAGTCGGGCACAGACACAAAATAAAACATCCGGCTTCCTTTCAAAATAAAACACTCCGTGTTTCAGGAGGATCGTATTTCACACCATGCAAACGGGCGGAGACGAACAAGTGAAAGGTTTTTAGACGTCATTTCACCCCGATGACACCATGGATGAGGAGATGCTGATTCTAGAAGTCTAGAAGTAGATTTCCTCCTCTGGAAGGACACAATCTACTGCTTATATGTCTATGCGTCTGTCTTTATAGAGACAACTCATTATCGTGAGATTGCATGAGGATCCACGGGTTCTTGTGAGTTCTCGTGGTTACCGTTGTCCATAATTGTCGGACAGTAAAAATCCCCACCGTTCCAGATGGGGTGAAAATTGATGATAAGGATTGACTCAGTTTTGTATCCAGCCCCGAGTGGACACTTGAGGAACTGCAGTTTCTTCTTCATGTTTCCTCTCTTGGTTTTGGCTCGTCAGTAAACAGGATGTGGTCTCCGCTCCAGTCTTGATTGAAGCCTTCAGCTCTTATTGTTGGTTAATTTACACTCGGCTCTCAGACCCACACTGGAAAATCAAATGTGTGGACTTGAGCAGAAGCTCAGCTGTGCTCCAAACTGGACTCCAATAGGTCTTTTGTACACAGGCAGAGCGTAATGCCTCAGTTATGTGTCCACAGCCACGAGCTACAGACTTCATAAGTGGAAGATTTGTTCAGATTTCACAGGCTTGAATGGAAAGAACAAAATGAGGGGATGTACATCACAGCGGCACATGATGCCATCTCTGCTGTCATGCTTCAGTTCCCACCCTGGGTAACGACACAGAGAGACGCCGTCTTCTTCACAGAGCGATGGCGGGACACGCCCGTGGAGGTTACGTCATGTGGACTGGTCGTGGAGCGAACAGCCAACAAAGTGATCTCAAAGCTGTGAAAGCGTTTTTGTTTCTCTTACGGAGGTTTTCGTTAAACTCAGATTAGTTCTGTCAGCGTGGAGAGTCGGAGACCTAAACCAGCTCTTTGTTTGGCGTACAGTTCCTGCAGGTCCTACCTCAACGATAGAGTTAGTGACTGCAGGCATCAGTCAAGGGATTATTATATTTATATTGCGCTAAATCTCAACGATGGTTGTCTTGTGTGTAATGTGGAGTGTTTCAAACAGCTGATTGAAGGTCGACGGTGTTTGTGATGTTTTCATCGTTGTGTAAGGGGATCTAATCTAGTGCAGCTTCACAAAGGGACGGTACAGGAGGATCCTATCCTATTGTTGTGTTTTGTGTATATATGTGTATTGTAGGGCTCCATATTGTATCATAATACAGTTCATGGTTTTATATGTCAGTGTGTCACTTTGTTTTGAAGATCATATCATAAATCATTAGAGAGTATGATGGCGTCTGTTCCTGTCATATATAACATATCATGACCTCCATCACATCATATTATATCATCTATAACATTATAGTGTGCACTGATAGTGTTTCACATTATATTGTGATTTGTCTATATGACACATGTGACATATTCTACTGTAATATTTTGTAGTAATATTAAACTGAAGATCAGAATTCAGTCTATCTTATCATATAATGTCGTGTTGTTCTCTATTACACACATTTCATTGTGTTGTAACACACTGTTAGTCCTGAATCATAACATAATAGGTTATATTCTATCCTAGTATATTATATTATATTGTATACATCATATGCGTTGTCCTATCATATATATGTATATATGTAATACTAATCTCTTACACAGTACTCTTATTTTACACTATAACTCAATATTTGATCATATTGCATATATATCATCATATATCCTTCCTTATAATAGATCCTCCTATCAGTTTACATTGTTGTGTAACTCTATAGTATAATATATCTACTGTATCCTCCATATAGGACCACCTTATATCTTTATGTATTATATGTCTTGTTGCCCTATAATCCCTGATCTGATCATGTTCCACCATCTTATCCTTCTGTATTTTACTCCAACAGTTTCAAACTCTCTGATACTCACAGATCCGCAGAGAAGCGGCGGCGTCTTCCTCTCTCTCAGTTTCTCTCATTAGTCCAGATCTCCTCTCTGAAAACCGGGTGTTGAAACTCGTATGTCATCCACCCGGAGCCGAGGGCGAGGAGATGAAATGTGTTGCAGTGTAGTTTTGTCGTCGCTTGTCCATTTTGGCGCGGCTGTGTTGGTGGTGTTGGTGATGGCGCCGCGTGGTCGTTCAAGCTCATTTCACCTCAAGGAAAAGCTTCACGTGGACCTGATGAAAAACGTCGTTTTTGGCGAAGAAGTGACTGATCGATAGGATGAGGTCAAATCTGTAGAAAGACACAAAGGTGGAAGAAAGAAAAAGTGGATGAGTTTGTGTTTTGGTTTTATTTTTAACTTTTTCAGAGAAACATAAACACCAACAACAGAGAACATTTTAACATTAAGTCTCAGAAACTCTAATGAAAGAAAAACCCTGAAGATCATTTCTGAGGAATGTTTGAAGCGGCGCTCTGGCGTTGCAGTAAATGGCGTCAAATCCGGAAATTGGATACACATGGGGGGATGTGTTCAGCAGATGGGTTGTTTGAGGTCAGGACGTTTTGAAGCTGTTTTTCTGTATTTCTCCAGCCATGGCAACCGCAGTTTGAAACGTTTCTCAGGTGGTTGAATTAGGCCGCGAGGTTTCATATGAATTTCTGCAGTTTAACAACAACCTTTGCCAAAGTTGGCACTCGGCTCAGGAGCGAGTTGGAAGTCTGACGGTTCAGAAGAAACGCTCGTGTTTCTGTTAAATTGGCTGTTTTCTTCAGGTGGGGTGGTTAACACTTAAAATTGGTCTCTTTTTGTACTTTATGGTTCTAGACTCAGAATATCTTTTACACTCAAGTTTATCATCATTAAGTCAAACTGAGTTTCATTTCTGCACAACAGCTGTGGAGAAACAAATTCAGATTTTACACTGAATTATAAAATTTGACTGAACTTGCAGAAAAAATTCCCCTTTTTAAAATTTCTACAAACCCGGCCTTTGATAACATGTTTGTGTGACCTGTGTATTTAATCAGCTGTATGTGTATTTGTTCTATAGTAAATATACTGGAGTTGTTCAGAGCAGCTCTCTCCTCTGACAGCCTAAAAGAATCTGCTCGGATTAAGAGCCCGGCTCGGCGCTCTGAGGATTAAATCATAGAACAGTTCATGAAAATGAGGTCCTGGAGCACTTTTTAAGTGTGGGTTGATCATTAAAGAGCTGAGCTATCGCTCCTCGGGGTCAAAGGTCACTTTTAGAGAGCTGAGCTCTAATATATCACAGAGTGAGTGCTTTCGGCTCTGCGCTGAGCCAGGAGACGCCTTTTTTCCTTTCTTTTTACCGAGTCGATCCTGACTCTGAGTTTTGGTTTTATTTTCTGCTTTTTTGTCACATTTTGGAGGATCTGAGGTTGAAGTATTTTAATTCCAGAAACATAATGAGTGTTTGGAGCTGAGGTGAAAAGTTTGCATATGTTTCTGTGTGTGTGTGTGGGGGGGGGTGCTGAGGTAGGTCGGTGACGGCTCCACCAGACCGGGCCGAGATAAGAGCGGAGAGCAGAGATAAACTTTGTTCAGAGACGATGAAACACAGAGCAGTAAACAGAGCAGTCATCAGGAGGGAGAATTTTTATTTCATATAACATCAGTAAAGTTTTTCAAAAGTACAAAAATTCTGCTTCTAAATTGATTTATGAAGTTTGAGGTCAAATTCTTTAAAGCTTCAACAAAACCAGCTGAAAAAAACAAACAGGTTTAAACAGATATAAAGTTTTCAGACGTGTAAACTCAGAAAAAAAAACAGTTTTAAAATGAAAGGAGGTGATTCTTTGTACTTTGTCAGTGTGAGTTTTTGTTCCAGCTCTTCATTCCTTCCTCTCCCTGGAGTCACAATCTGCTGTTCACTCACTTTAGATCCATTTTATTAAATTATACACAGACACACACAGACAGACAAACACAGAAGGGCTTTTTGTTACTTCCACCTCTGTTTCTGCTCCATCCTTCTTCTCAAAAAACAGAAAAAAAAACTCTTCTTCACTGTTTGATTTGGATTCAGGATCCTTCAGGAGGATCTCAAAGTCCCCCCTCATCATCATCCTCCTCTTCCTCCTCTTCAAATTTGGCTCATCAGCTGTTCTGCTGGCTCTGGAGGCGGCCTCCTCCCTTTGTCTCGGCCTCTGGGCTAGCTGGCTAAGCTAGTCGGCCCTCGCATCACTTTCTGGGTAACTTTAGACTAGTCCACTCCTGCTCCGAGGCTCCAAATATCCGGCTGACCCGCGGGGCCGAGTGGGGACGAGCAGGGAGGAGAGCCCGGCCGGGATGGATGGCAGCCAGAGCTGTGCGTGAGTGCGTAAAAGAGAGAAAAATCACTTTATAGTGGTGGTAGTAGGTGTAGTAGGAGTTGTTGTAGTTGTAGTAGTGGAGGTGGTGATGGTGGAGCAGGCTGGTACGGGAGGTCGAGGGATCCTGGTTTGATTTATGTGTTTGGGGGAAGCTGTCACGAGCAGAAACAGGAGCAGCGCGCGGACTCACGTTTGATTCCTGCGCGTTAATAATGGAGAAGAGCCGGAGAGCGCGTGCATACCACCTCACACTCTTTACGCACAAATATTACACAACTTTATCACCATCATCATCCACCACCTCTACAGTCCGCGGGCACAGACAGGGATGGAGCTGCAGCTGTTACCGGCCGGGATCCGTCCTCTCACCCCGGGCATGAGCACCGAGCGCAGCCCGGGATGAGTGCTCTCTCCCCGGGCAGGATGAGGAGTTATTTATGCGCTCGGATGAGAAACAGCTGTTTGAATTTCTTGGGTTCTTTCTCATCTTTCTTTGCTCTTTTTTGGCCTGTTTGCTGTTTAACTCTTGAATCATTATTATGTTTTCACTATTGCTGTTTTAATCTGTTTATATTTGGACTTTAAGAGCTGGAAATAATATTTTTATGGACATTATCGTTCAAATCTGCTCGGATTTACACTCAGATAATGAACACTAGATATTCGATAGTTTTTATTTTTGAGTCTTCTTTAGTTTTACATTTTTGTGTTATTAAATATATAAAAACACAAATTTATTATTCTATATCTTTAAAACGGCTTAGACTCGTTTTATTTTTTATATTAATTTAAAGGTCTTTTTCTCTGTTCTTAGAGATCACATTTCTGTTTTCCTAGTTTGCCTTTTTCACTACATTTTTCCCAAGTATTTTTAAAATAATCTGGATTTTTTTTAATGTCTCGTTTCTGATTGGAAAAAAAAACATCCATCTCGTTTTTTTTCCTCCTTCATCAGACATCGACAGGCTTTCCAAATCAGACGTTTCCACCCTTTTAAGAGACAGAGGCAGCTCTGTAAATATGACAGGATATGTAATAGGATCATCAGAATCAATAAGCTCATGTTTCAGCCTCCTCTCCTCTCTGCACTTTGATTTGTATTCCGGGATTTCTTTGTGAATAATTTGGACAGTAAGAACTCTGAGTCTCAGTTTAAACAAACATTTCCATCAAATATCTTCATCTCTGTTTCTCTCTCTCTCTTCTGTCTGCAGGAGTTTTCCGGAAGCTGTTTTCTTCCATCAAATCATCAGAAAATAGGAGGAAATCTCTCGGTGAGTCCAGATCTGTTTTTACTTTATTTTTAATTTAATTAGAAGAAGAGTTTATAAATCTGAGTGTTTAATGATCGAAACGACAAAGAGCAGAGAGGATGCGCAGATTTCGATTCATCACCTCGTGTTTGTGCGTATTTATGCAGAATCATTCAAAGTTAGACTACAAAAATATTTCTAAATATGTTTTATCCTCTTTCAAATAATAAGAAAATCGATCTTAAAATAAATAAACTGTTTAATTTTTATCCGGATAATCCAAACAACAGATTTGTCAGATTCCTCATATTTTATTCTTTGTTAGGATTTAATTTTAATTAGTAGACTCCAGCTTTTACAGTCATAACTCACTAAATATGATCATGAATCATCCAAAAGAACTTAAAGATTGAAAATGTTGCTGATTCTGTTGGAAATGTTCATGTTGAAATGAATATTCGGTTTTTACGCGCGGAGTTTGTGCCAAATTCATGCAAAAAAATAAAGCGTGCATGTGATCTGATGTTGTATATGACACGTGTTAATGTAATATAATCCAGAGGTGTGAAGGGCGTTCACAGCAGGACACACAGCAGGGTCAGTTCATCATTTCAGGACAGTTATTAAAACAGCAATCTGCGGCTACAGCAGCAGGACTGAGACCAACGCCAACATCAGACCAACATCACCAAGAGCAAAACTGCAGACCAGCTGCACAATTATTTACATTCAGACCGTTTAGAAAAGAGCAAACACCCCTAAAAGTCCGTTTCTCTGTAAGATTCTGACATATTTATATGAACATGGAGTAAAACTGCGTAAAAACGGATTTTAATCCCCCAAAGTCTTAGGAAATTCCTTTGTGCCCTCCTCATGGCCCACATGTCTCAGGTCCTGAGGGGGAAAAGGAAGAAAAAAATGGAGGGAGCATTTCCATGGCTGTGCAGGGCGCAGAGTTTCAGTTGTGAAACCCAATACCCGTGACTCAATCCGAAACACGGAGCCGTCCATGCGCGTCTGCCATCCAGGAAAATAAAGAATAACTGCCATCCTGCACAAGCACCGGCCTGCGTTTCCACGTCACTGCGTACATGTAATCCGCGTCTGAGTTCCCACACTTCTACCACTGCTGCTGCTGCTTCTCTGTGGAAACTCACAGTCAAAGAGCAGAAAGAGCTGATTAGCAGTTTGGTTAATGAGTAAAGATCCGTGAGTCCTTCACACAAAAGCCTCTTTGGAGGAAAAGTTGCAGACGGACACATTTCAGGCTCCCACCTTCCACCTACACGGAGGAGCTCATCCTCACATTTCTGCAGCCCACAGCGAATGCTATCTGCTTTAAAGTTGGGCTGTTTACACACACACACTCTCTCACACACACACTTTCTCACACACACACGCTGCTGGGTGCGAGAAAACTCATAAATCTTACGTAGCCATAAACGACAGGGGTAGCGTCCTGAATAATAAAAATAGAGGGAAGAGGGAGAGAGAGAGAGTGTGTGTGTGAGAGTGAGAGAGTTCCACACACACACAGGAGAAGAGAGGGTGTGTTTGTGTGTGAAACAAGTGTAGCTCCATATTTCCTCTCTGTTTCTGTTTCCTTTCTCCACTTTAAACTGAAATGTTGAATTTCTCTAAAAATTGTCTGGAGGTGTTGAATTCAGAGGCCTCAGAGTTTCTCCCCTGTCTCCTCCCCTCCTTCCTTCCTTCCCTTTTCTTTTCTTCCTTTATTTATCTTTTTCTGTGCATAAGCAGCAGCAGGGGGAGACGAGGTGATGAAATGTTAACAATACAGAGTGAGTGTCTAGTTTCTGCAGGGAGACATGAAGGGGTTAGCTGCAGGAGAGGGGGGCTCTGCAGAAACAGGGATTTAAATAAATACATTAGCCTGAAAGAAGAAGAAGAAGGAGAAGAAGCATAAAAATGTCACCAAAATATGAAGGAGTGATTTCACCAGAGGATAATAAACAACCTGTGGTCTGGAAGTGCAGAGAGTTCCCTCTGATGGAGCTTTAAATACTTATTTATGGAGATCTGTGAAACAAATTAAAGCTAACAGATAATAATTCAGAAGCTCTGAAAGGACTGTGATGTGAGAGCTGGTTGGTGCTTTGGTTTAATCCGCCTCTGTTCATCATAATCTCAGATTTTACAGTCTAATCTTTGCCTAAATAGTCTTATTTACGTTTTTTCTGACATGTTGAAACCTCTAAGATCTTCATGTGGACTACAAAGTCTGTGTTCATGATGTTTGACCTTATCCTGTCCACTCTCATCATCATAGCTAACTAATAGCTAACCTCGATCGTAGTGGTCTCTTTTCTTAGGCCTGCTAGCCTGGACTAATAATCTGAAAAGAAATTATGTTATAAATATGGCCTCCCCTCTAAAATAGACTAATATTTTCTTGAAATCAGAGTTTTTAAAGGGTAAAATCAGAGTTCTGATCATGTTTCAGTGCTGCGTAAAAGTTCTCCAAGTTTACGCAGACCTCCTGTTGTTGGAGACTCTTTGTAATCTCGGTTGTGACTGAATGTGGAGCTTTATTTGGGTGTAAGAGCAGACTCTCAGCATGCTGGCAGGGCGAACATCAGTGCCTGTGTGTTGCACTTGCAGAGAGAGTTAATTAGCATAATTTGTGAGTGACGCTGAGCTGTTGTTTGATGGAGAATCAACGCGTCCGCGAGTCAAGCCCCGTTATTCCCTCCGTTACACCCCGGGAGCGTCGCTGGTACCCGGGCTAGACTGTCGCCAACAACATGGGAATATCAACAAGGAAACTCCAGCCGTACTGCGACTATATTTAGGCTGCTGGTGCTGCCGTTAGCCCTGCAGAGTCCGGGATTAAAGCTCCGCGTAAAAAACCACCAGGGAGCGGAGCGAAGCGGGAGTTCAGACCCAGAGACAGAGAGGCAGGCGCGGAGGGACAGAGCCAGGAGACCCGGGGAGGAGAACCGGGGACATAGAGGAGCAGAGAGGAGCAGAGAGGAGCTGTGGATCATGCGATGGGGTGACATTTTGTTGCGGAGCTGTGTGTCCGTCTGAGCGGCTGTTTTTTTTTGTTCTGGCTGGTTGTGACAGACTGAGGGGCTCAAACCGACACGATTCTGAGGCCATTGTTATCAGCAGCAGCAGCGGTGCAGGCAGCAGCGGTGCTGGGGCGGAGGGCGGAGGTGGAGGGGGGTGGGGGGGCGCGAGCAGGCAGCAGGCAGGCTCCCGGTAAGCTCCTTCAGCTCGTGCGCTAGCTAGCCTGCCTGTAGCCTTGCACTACCGAGCCTTCCCGTTAATTCAGACCCCCCCCACACACCGACGCCGTGTCTGCTCTGCTCTCTTATCCGTTCATGCCACACGGTGTCCGGGCTGCAGCCCCCGCGGAGCCCGGTCTGCTGGAGGCGGCTGGAGGAGGAGGAGGAGGTGGTGTTGTTGTGAGCCGTGCTAGTCTTCAGACAGCACCGGAGGAGGAGGAGAGGAGCACGGGAGGGAGCGGGGTCGCTCTTTATTTCATTATTTACGGTTCTTATTGATCACCTGGTGGACGGACGCGCGTGAGGATTTATCTGTGATGCGGTGCTGCTGCGGGGTCCGTGCCGGACTGGACCGGGACCACCGGTGCTAAGGGAAGGTAAGGAGCAGGAGTGTGTGTGTGAGTGTGTGTGTGTGTGCAGGCCAGCCGGTAACGCACGGGCTCCACAACAAACCAGAAATACAGTGTGTGTGTGTGTGTGTGCGTGTTTGTCCGCGTGCAGCTCCAGGCTGGCTCAGTGATTTATGGCCCGTATGACTTCAGACCCGGTTCAAGAAGAGTTCACACCGCTTTAAGCTGGAGCGGCCCCCCTCCTCCTCCTCCTCCTCCTTCATCTCTCTGCTCCTCCTCACTTCAGCTCCTTATTTACTAAAGTATGGCGGAGCCTTTATCTGGGTCCTCCTCACCTTCCATCTCCTCCTCCTCCTCCTCCTCTCAGGGAGGTTAAATCAGATCTAATCTGACATTTCTGTTTCATTCTCACTGAAATCTTCAGATCCTGATGATATTTTCTCAAAGCTCGGATCTTTGATTGTTTCTGTCCCTCCTCCTCTTCCTCCTCTTTTCTGTTAATGAGATAAAGAAAACCTGGATTGTCCAACTTCATGCTCTCTCTCTCTCTTTCTTTCTTTTTCTTTCTCTCTCTCTCTCTCTGCACAGCTCTTCATGGCAGGCGCCATTTGTAATTTTATATCTGAGGATAAAACACAGACACTGGACACCAAGGCCGACCCCCCTCTTTCTCTCTCTCTCTCTCTCTCTCTTTCTTGTTGTTGTTGTTTGGGTGTCTCTCTCTCTTTCTCTCTCTGTCACTGTAAGTTGATTATTCAGGGAGGCGGCTAGTAAAGTTGGTGATTGTATTAAGCTGCAGACCTACACGCAGGGCACAGACATTACGTGTCCCGTTTAATGGTGAAACAGCGGTATGATTTAATAACATATTCCTCCTACACTTAGTGCCACGGCCTCTCTCTCTCCCCCTCTCTCTGTGTCTCTCTCTCTCTCTCTTCCTTGTGACTATTCCTCAGAGTAAATAATTAGGATTCCAGCTTGTCTCCGAGAAAGATAAATGGCTGACATGTGTGATGTGCTGAGAGCTGAAGACGGGCTGGACTGTCAGTCCAAAAAAAAGGAGAGGAAAAAAAAAACAAAATGGAAAAAGGAAGAAGAGAAGAAACAGAGCATTATATTTGTTATAATGAATTAATAATATGATTTTAATTCCACTTTCTCCTCGTTTTTAAAAACAAAAGATCGAATAAAGCCAATAAATCCAAACCAGCCTTTCTGATTTTGCCTTTTAGTGATCGATTATTTACCCTAAAATGTTTCTAATGGACAGAATGATTAATATAAATGAACTTCTTTTATATATATATATATATATATAAAAACCACGCTGCTGTTTTATTATTAAACCACTTAAATTTGAACAAAGACATTTTTATTTTATTACCAAATCTTAGAAAACTAAATTAACTAAAGGACGGTGCAGTGTGCAGATATTTCTTTGTTTATATTTTATATATTTTTAATTTTATTTCAGGGTTAAATAAAAAAAACGTGATTCCTGATGTCAGCTCGGTAAATCTAACAGCAGCTTTAGAAACACAGACTCTCATCTTTCTTCTTCTTCGTCTGAAATATTTTATCTCTCAGCAGAAATTAATACCAGGTGCTCCCTCGCGCCTGACAAGACGGCCTCTCGCGACCACAGGCCCACCCCAGCGGTGCGCGCGAGACAGGGTGTCTATGGGGGCCAAAAAAATAGCTTTTTTTCCATCTGTTTTTTTTTCTTTAAGGGATCTATCTATCTATCTATCTATCTATCTATCTATCTATCTATCTATCTAAATATCTATCTATCTATCTATGTTTTCGTTTATCATCCCAGTTTTAACGCAAATATCGGCCTGAAAACGTTCGAATAAAATCGTTTAATCTAACCGATGCGATAATCTCAAATTAATCTATATAAAAATAACAGACCGATAGTTCTCATTTTCTTTGTTATTCGGTTAAAAAAATAACCAATCGTCTCTCTCTCTGTAGAGTTTCCCTTCCATGTTTCCTGAGCTGAAAAAACAACAAATCTTTGCTCGTTGGTTATTCAGCAGCAGTGATCTCTTCCGGAGATAGAGACCCGCGTGTGAGTGAGGTAACAGCCGAGGTAACAGACTGAACCCACTAAATCATGGGAGAGCTGACAGAAATAGGCTACCTACATCAGTCACCGAGGAGGAGCGCGTGAAAACGGGACACGACCGGCGCCGCCATTACACAACAAAAAACGTCACGTTTAGCAGGAACAACAACAACAACAACAACAACAACAACAACAACAACAACAATAACACAAACACACACAGAGAGGGAAGAGATTTATTAGAAATACACACAGAGGAATAACCAGACCTGACTGAGATCCTGTATGAATATGTGGAAAATACTCAGAACAATAACTGAGGGTTTTATTTTAATTTTAATGTGAAGATCGGATGAATGGATGAAAAATAATGAGTGAGAATTAAACAAAAAAAAAATAAATTAATATAAATATAATTCATAATCATTATTAGTCTACCTGTGACCTGATTATAGGTTTTAAAAAAACATTAAAATGGATTTTTAATTTCAGAAATCTAACATTTGCCTTTTTCATGATTTTCTTTATGCATAAATCATTCGTGTGTGTGTGTGTGTGTGTGCAGAGAGGGTGTGTGTTGCCCTCCCTGTGCCCCCTCCACCACAGCATCTGCAGGCTGAGCACAGGGCTCAGAGGGGAGGGGAGGGGGGGTGTGCAGAGAAAAGAAAAGCGCTGGTTTCTATTCATGTCATGGCGCCTTTCAGTGGAGGAAGATGGATTTATCTCTCTTATTTCTTTATTCTTCCTCTGCTAACCTTTCAGGTCAGATTGCAGGGGACCGTTGGAGAGACACCGTCACGTGACCCCCGGTACCAAATGGTCTTCCGGCAGTGGCTCTCTTCAAGGACCGGAGCACACCAAGACGCCGCCACTCCTCTCAGAAATGCAGAAGACAACATACTACGACAACTCCTCGACGCTTTTCGGTGGCTACTCCTCCTACCAGGTGCAGGGGGCTGCGGCGGCGGCGGCAGCAGCGGCCGCCAATGGCTTTGGGGGCTACGATGCCCCGGTCCCAGTGTCTCACCACCAGCCGGCCTTCCAGTCGGCGTCCCATCTGGACGTGGATTCGTACCAGCGCTCAGCCTGCTCCTTACAGGCTCTGGGCAGTAACAGCAGCCACCAGCAGCAGCAGCAGCAGCAGCTCGCCAAGAACAAGGAGCTGAATGGCAGCTGCATGCGGCCCAGCCTGCCGCCTGAGCACCACTCCGCCTCCCAGGTGTCCCCCCCACTGCCCCCCAACCCCAGCAACGGTAATACCGGGGCTCAGCAGCCGGGGGGCAGTGCTGGGGCTTCCTCAGTGTCCAAATCAGGCCCTAATAAGTCCTCCAATTCCTCCTCGTCCATATCGTCCTCCAACTCCTCCTCCTCCTCCTCACTGCCCCCAAACCCCACCCTGGCCAAGCAGATCTTCCCCTGGATGAAGGAGAGTCGGCAGGCCACCAAGCAGAAAAACTGTTCCCCCAGCAACAACTCCGGCAACGGTGTGTGTTCGACCAAACCTCTACGTCTGTCTGTCTGTCTGTCTGTCTGAGCTCTGACCCCCCCACTCCTTATTATTCCTCCTCCTCTTCTCTCTCCTGTCATCCTCTCCTCCTTCTCTCCCTCTCTCTCTCCCTCGTTAGTGTCTTCCTTCTCCCTCTCTTCACCACCTCTCTCTTTCTTCACCTCTCTTATCAACATCCTCTCCAGCCTCAGATCCCAGAGGATTGAAAAGGTTTCTCAGACTATTTATGGAAAAAAACACGTTTCCACAGGCGCTGCTTCACACGGGGAAATGACCGAGTCAGGTTCCTGAATATTTATCTGTAGCTGCTGAGTTAGTCAGTCCTGGTCTGAGTTAAACTCTAAGGCTGGTTTAAGTGATCTGATGTGGTCTCTGAGCCAGTATGAAGTCTAAAATCAGAGCAGACGCTGCTGTTTGTGACTGAGGATTAAATTATCGTCGTAAACACGGAGAGGCACGGCAGTCTGATTAACATTTCTAAAGGAGCAGAAAGACCAGAGTCTGAATCATGATGTGGTCTGGACCCTGACCAAACTTCAAACATAAGACCAGGATCTTATTGACATTCAGAGTTTATGCAGGACTAAGATTTCAGAGGACACACCTGCAGGATCAGTAAGACCTGAGATCCCTCTGCAGGTCTGGTATTTTTGGTCCGAGTTTGAAAAGCTGTAAGAGTCACTGACTGTGTTTACATCTTAGTGTTGATTAGACTAATCAGAGCTGACGACGTTCTCTTTATCGTCAGTCCTCTGTGTGAATCTGATGGTTCAGAAAAGTTCAGTTAAGCGTTTGCACACGGATGCTACAGCCTCTGATCAAACTCCACCCTCTACCGCCACTTCTCTAATTCAGGCACAAACAGAAGAAGAAGAGTAGGATGAGATTTTGGGGTCCAGAAACACCGGACCTGGTTCATAAGACCAGCTGTATCCCAGACAGAACGTTACCTACAGGAGCTTTAATGACTTCTTTTGAGAGATGTTTTATTGCTGCTGTTGTTGCTCTGCTTCAGCTCTAGATTCATATTATCCTGCTCTCACCTCATCATAATTCTGTTTATTAGTTTATACTCTTATTCTGTGTTAAATCAGTGGTGAGCCTCACAGCTACAAACAGCAAATGTAAACACTGATGTCGTCAAAGATGGCGGGGCAGGAGAGAAAACGTCTACAGGAGGATTTTGTTCATGTGGATTTATCGCCTGAGTTGAAGTTGGAGTTTGTGTCTCTGAACATTCACAGAGTTTATGATCAAAATACATGTTTTTAAGGAAACTTCAGAGCTGGATTTGGTTTGTTTAGTTAAGAGAGAGCTTCACAAAAACCAGCTTCACCGTCATGAAACAGCGACTGGTGGTTTTAGGGAAAGTTCTCTGCAGAAACAGGTGGGTGCAGTGACTCCTCAGAGGAGTTTTGAGCTCGTGCATCACATCTTAAAACAGTCAGTGCACAGAGGAAACAGTCTGTTCAGTTTTAGTAAAAATCTCAGAGTTTAAAAACTTTTAGTAATCTGATAATTTTCCTTCCTGTCTGATCGGTGAGCGCTAATAGATCCAGGAAGATTACAGACAGTTATTTAACCAACCTGAGTCTGTGCACCTCCTTCACTCATTACTCTCTCCTCTTAAACCTCCTCCTCCTCCTCCTCCTCCTCCTCCTCGTCCCGGTTATTTGCTCCCCTTCCTCTCCACCTCCTCTCCTCCTCTCCTGGTGGCATCTCCTCGGAAAGCCGCTGCAAGAAGGCAGATATGAACAATTTGAACCGGGTGTACGATAACAGATGAACAGAATGACACGCAGACGTTTGAAATGGAAGATATTAGCGGATGAAATTCGGAGGAATAGAGCGGGATGATAAATATGAAAATCATCTGCTGGCGTGATAACAGACGGGCTGATCTGTTATTTGAATTGGTAGTTATCGATATTTGAGTGTCATAATGAATATGAGCCTGTTATTGTTGTTGCTGTCAGGTGACTGCGCCGCAGAGAGTGGAGCAGAGATTAGAGGTTTTATTGATGAGAATTTGAAACAATCATCATTGGAAGAAGAATTTCAGACGACGCTGCGCTCTCTCTCATCGTTCTGGAAATAAATACAAGAGTCAGCTGTTCGAACCTCCGAGGAGCAGATGAGATTATGGAGAGATAGGATCTCAGCGCTTCAGACGCTTTATCAGCTTTATGAGTATTTAAGAAAATGTGGAAGTGACTTAAATCTGCGGGCTCTCTGTGACCAGCAGGGGGCGACTTCACTAATCATAAAGGAGGCGGATTATAAAGATGCCAATAGGAAATTAAGCGTCCTTTTCACTGGTTTATTTACTCTGTGAATGAGTTTAAGATCTCCGTCTTCAGCTTAAGGTCTTCTGCAGTATAGCATGATGCTAATTTTGTATATTAGGTCTCATTCCACTGTTACATGAGAAATGAGAATTATTGGACCAGTCAGCAGACTGCAGTGTTATGTATGAGCCTCAGCACAAGTAGGACAGTACAGAGAGGTTATTTTGGTACACTCCCAAACTTTAGATGCTGAAAATACTAATAATCACATATCAAACTGAACCGGACCAAACTGGTCTGGACTTGATACACTCATTAGAAACAGTCAGCCTGCGACTCTCTGACAACGCCATCTGCGCTTTTGTTATAACACGTCTAAAAACAACAAGAGTTCGGAGTTATTCTCAAAGACTGACTCCATATTTACTTTGACATGTTTGGTGCAGATCAGCTGTTTTAAAGACAGTTTTGGTTAAAGGCGTATTCAGCGTCATTACAAACGCTCATCTCGACTTGTAATGGCGTTTCCCATCATTCATAGAGAGCAGGTTTGAGCTCCAGTGTTTGGTCGAGTTCGTGTTGGCAGTCAGTCTAACTATCAGAGAACCGTGGGAGGAGAAGGTGAGCTGATTGAATCCAGCTCAGGTTGACCCCGGTCTGTTCTCCCGTCTTTGTGCTGCAGCTGCTGTTGCTGTGGGGGGTTTTGTCTTTCCAGCCAAGATGCAATTTAGCGGCCCTGGGCCAGCGCCGGGGCCTCCGTCTCTTAATAACTGCCACTGTTATGAAGTGTTGACAACTAATATCAGGGGATAATTCAGCCGGCGAGCGCGGACCCCCCTCTGCTTTATTAAGAACCTGCATGCTTTCAATTTCCTCCAGCGTGCAGCCGGAGTCCGTCTCTCTTTCTCCTCCTCCTCTCTCAGTTTTGACGTCTTCCTCCTCTGTGTTTTCACGCCGTTGTTTTCCGTTTGTCTCACTCCTTCTGTGTTTCCTCTCCTCAGCGTCGGGAGGAGCAGAGAGCGGCAGCAGCGGCGAGAAGAGTCCGACCAGCGGCTCGTCAGCGTCGTCTAAGCGGGCCCGTACGGCGTACACCAGCGCCCAGCTGGTGGAGCTGGAGAAGGAGTTCCACTTTAACCGGTACCTGTGTCGGCCTCGCCGCGTGGAGATGGCCAACCTGCTCAACCTGTCAGAGCGCCAGATCAAGATCTGGTTCCAGAACCGACGCATGAAGTACAAGAAGGACCAGAAGTCTAAGGGCCTGAGCTCCAGCTCTGGGGGGCCCTCACCGACGGGCTCCCCCCCCCTCACCATGCAGTCCTCCGCCAGTTTCCTCAACTCCATGCACCCCATGGGAGGGGGAGGCGGGGGCGGAGGCTACGACGTCCCTTCACCGCCATCCTTTGGCAAGCCGCACCAGGGCGTGTCTTACTCCATGTCCACTGCCTACTCCAACGTCCCCATGAAGGGCTGCCCCCCCCAGCAGAAGTACGGAGCCCCAGACCCGGACTATGGCGACCCCCATCCCCACCACGGCCTGGTGCAGGCTAACAGCGCCGGCTACGGGACTCCAACCAACATGCAGGCCAGTCCGGTGTACGTGGGGGGCGGCAGCTATGTGGAACAGATGCCCGGCTCGGGGCCCTCCATGTACGGGCTAAACCACCTGGGCCCCACGGCCCCCCACCACCAAACCATGGACTACAACGGCGGGGGGCCCATGTCGGCCGCAAACCAGCACCATGTGGGCGGAGGGGGCCCTCAGGGTCCCTGTGACCCGCCCACACACCCGACGTACACCGAGCTGTCGGCGCACCACACTTCGACTCAGGGCAGAATCCAGGAAGCACCCAAGCTCACTCACCTGTAGCAGGTTTGGAACAAAAACATAGGAAGTAGTGAAGACGACACAGAACGACAACACAACAACACAACCCACTAACAGACTAACACCAGGGGGGCTCTACTGCTGCAGCGGGGACGGGGAGGGGGGCGGAGCCAGACCGGCAGAGACCATCCAGGGGTTTGTCCTGTCCTCCAGAGCTAACATCAGAGCTCTGTCGATCCGATCGGGACTAAAGTTTAATCTGAGACCCAGTTTGGTTGATTTAGTCTGTTATGAAGCAGCTGAGGCGGGTCTGGACCTCCAAACTATCTAATCAGGACCAAACCTAGACCCTAAAACACCAGATTCTAACGGGAGTCTGACCCACCGAACAGAACCGTGTCTTTTCTAGCACCAGTAAAAATACGAGACTCACTCAGTTTTAAATTTTAAGGTTCTGAGTGTTTTTCTGGACCCTCCTCTTCGACCCGTCTTAAGTCCGGCCCTGCTCTCCCCCCCCCCCCCTCAGAGTGGATTCTCGGTCCCAGAGCACTGAAGCATACTGTAGGCGTGGGAGACGCGGTGTACACTCGGTTGTCTCCCACTCTCCCCCGGGGGGACCATAAATGTCAGGGCGCTCCTCCTGTGACTCTCCTGCAGAGAAATATCGGCAGCTGTACGGCATAAAGAGACGAGCGCACCTTTAAATCTGGACTCATTAGACGGAGAATTTACGGCGTTAAAGACCCCGTTATTAAAACATGAGAGCGTCAGAATATGGAGAAATCGAAGAGTGTAATCTTTTTAATTCAGGCAGCTCTGAAACCGTCAGACTGAGTCGTTTCCTTTCTCTATAGTTTATGTTTTAACGGCTCTATAAACCGTTTTTTGGAGGTTGGAGTAAAAAGCAGCTCGTTGTAAAGTCACCTGTGGTCTGAAACGAACTTTGATCATAAAAACTCCCCCCTCAGACATACATATACAAACAGGACTCCCACTCGGTAAATGAAATAGTCGAGATTTTAATGGGCAGTTAACGAGGTGGGCAGATTTATGATGCCGCGCTCTCTCCCCCTCCGGGCAACACATGTTGTTGTCAGCTGAGCTGAGCTATGTGGAGGTCTCTGCCTCTCCATCAGCTGCAGATCTACGGCCCTGGTCTCCCCCCCCCCTGTTCTCACAGAAAAACCTCTGGACGGTCTTCATGGTCTGTTTCTGCCTCCTCCTGTCTCTGTCCGTCCAGACTGAATCACGACTAACCCTCTGTGTCCGTCCGTCTGTGGCAGCACACGACTTCTGAAGGAGGCACAAACTCTCACTCTTCGCCACAGACAAACACACACACATGCACACAAACACACACACAGGCACACCTCCCATCTCTCTAACAGGGTTTCAGAGGCTAAGCTAGCTCCCATGCTAGGCTACGCTAGCGAATCACGTGTCCATACGGGGGGCTCCTTAAAAACACATTATTCCTCCTGGTGCATGTTGACAAAAACAAGCAGAGGAGTAAAATTTGGTCAGATCTGAGTAAACATCCTGATTTGGACTCAAACATCCGTTCTGATCAGTCGACCTTAAGTTCCAGAGTTAAAGTCTGAAGGTCATTTAAATCTGAAAATCTGCAGGATGTCTCGTCTCTGTTCGTAAAGTCAAGAATTAATGATGTCATATGTAAAATCATCTCGATCAGACTGATCTCTCCTGAAGACTGAAACTGTCGAGTTCACACCGGATGAAAATCAAAGAGTGAAGTTCATGTAAAGATGAGGTCAGGTGAGGTTAAGGTGCAGCGTGGATTCAGCGAGTTTTACGACACAAATTCACAAAAAGTTCAAAGTTGAAGAATCTGAACCCGAGCGATAGCCAATCAGCACGGAGATCAGATCAGCCAAGACCAGACCAGAACACCAGAACGCCAAACTAGGGCTGGGCGATAAACCGAAAATTTACAGATACCGAAATTTACGACAATAACCAACGTCATTTTGCCCATATCGTCAGAGACGTGACTCCACCCCATCCAGTCCGTAACAAAGAGGAGATGGAGGACGGTTCATGAAGTCAATGTGGGATGGAGTGAGCAGCTTGTGGAGTAGTTATCGTCCATTTATCGTTATCAAGGTGAACTGATCAATATATTGGGATATTGATATGAGGCCGTATCGCCCAGCCCTACTGTGTTTGACTGAAAGGAAGTGAGGGGAACGCCTCTTTGCGTGCAAAATATTCAAGCGCTCAAATATTTCAGTATCAAACCAGAAAATAACTTTATTTAGATCCAGTGTGAAGACGACAGACGACAAACAGCAGCTTCAGGTTTTGACTCCTCAGGTCAGAGTTTGACCAGACGACCTAAAAAACCAACATCATCAGTGAAAAACTGTTTTTAAGGAGTCCTTCATCACACACCATCATCATCATCATCATCAGGTGATGCTAAGCTAGCTTCCCTTCGCTAACACACACATACACACACACTCACACACGGTCAGCTGTGGACATCTCCAAACAAACAGAGGAGAGGACGTGGAAGAGACTTTTTTAATGTTCTTCTTTTAGCACATCATCGACACAGGGTAATACTAATAAGAGTGGAGAACACTATTTATTTATGTTTGGGTAACTCACTGCCCTCCTCTCTCTCTCTCTCTCTCTCTCTCTCTCTCTCTCTCTCTCTCTCTCTCTCTCTCTCTCTCTCTCTCTCTCTCTCTTTCATTAACTCGTCCACATTTGATCTGGTTTGTTTGGTTCTCTCATATCTTGACTTTTAAACGTGGATACAGGGTATATATTTGAACAAAAATGCATGTCCCGGAGGTCGGAGCTGACGTGTCGGACGCACTTTGAAAAACCTGCAGAGTTTATTTATCTGAGCGGTCAGTGTGTGTGTGTGAGTGTGAGTGTGAGTGTGTGTGTGTGAGTGTGTGACTCTCTCGCCGCTCTGAAGATAAACCCACGCTTTGTTTTTTTTAAAGTGCAGACCCTCACAGACGCTCCTCGCCCCCGGACATCATTGTTGCACTTAGAGTTTACATTTTGATGGTTAAAAAGGTAAAAAATAATAATAATAATAATAATAATAATAATGAAATCTTATTTTGAAGACGGAAGGCCCTCCAATCAAAGCGTCTTTCGCCAATGTGTGTTCAAGTGAACATTCATATATAAATATTTATTTGTTATAGCCAGTTTAAAAGACTTTTTCTGTTTTGTATTATTATTATTTATCCTTCATGTATTTATATCGAGAAAAAAGACTGTACTTTTTTAGTATTTACCTGTTATGAAAGAAAAAAAACAACGTTGTGTTTCTTCTTGTCCATTGTACTGAAGTTACATTTTTTAGTTCTTGTATTTTAGAAGAAAAAAAAGTAGTTTTTATGTTCCTATGATGACCCTTGTACATAAATGTCTTGGCTTGTACAGGGAAAAAAACGGCAGGGGTGGGGATCGGTGACCCGTCCGTGCATAGTCTGAAAATTTAGACCAACTATTAGCTGGAAAAGAGAACGAGTCTTTTTGGAGAAAAACAACTTCTTTCTTTGTCCTTTGTAGCTCTTTTTTCTTTCCTTGTTGAGAGAGTTGTCTGTCGAACAATTCTTTAATAAAATGTTATGTTATTCAGAGTTAGACTCCGCCTTTTCTGACTCGGGATACATGTTGTTTGTGGTTATAACAGGCGGAAAAGCATCCGAATCAGAAACTATGACGATTAAAAACAACAAACCGTCCCAGTGTTATAATTCTTCAATAAGTATCCTCTGAAACTGTTCTGGTGTCCCTGTTTCACGGTTCAGAGGTCGTCGTTTTTGACAGAAACTGTATCGTCCAACGGTCCCGGTGTTAAATCTCAGGTGGTCGTCCCCTCAGGCTGCGGCGCCGCCTCACTGTCACTAAACTTTCTTTTTAAAGTTGAAAGTGAAGCTGCAGGCCACATGTTAGACGTCAGGAATCAAAGAAAACATCTTCAACCTTTTTACTAAACTTCAACTCTGGCAGCAGCAGCTTTTATTCAGGCCTGATATTAAAGGGTTAAAGGTCCGATCCGTGAGGTTCTTCTACTGAACCTGATACCTGTTAGTGATAGTTTCTCAAAGACCTCGTTCTAGAGTGGAGAAGAAGACCCCATCTATAAAAATGAGCTGTAAGAGCGCCTGATTGGCTTGGCGGTTTGGTTGCATGCCGTACATACCGACACTGTGGTCCTTTAGAGTGACCCGCTCAAGTCCAGTCCTGCAGACTTTCCCGGTTTCTACTCTGGGGACTTTAAATCTCCAGGACAACAGAGAAACAAACAGACCTAAAAACACAGAAATGAGTCGAACTGAAGAGTTTTGGGGGCGATAAGGAGGATCCTTTTGGGGGTTTTCAGTGACTCAAAAGAGGGTCAGGAGGACTCTAGGCTGGACCTTCCCTCTGAACAGTTTTTGGTCTAATAGACGTCTAAATGTAGTCTAGATGACTGGTCTAAAATCAGGCTACCACAGGTTTAAAAATGAAAGCTTTTTAACTTCTAAATTTAGACCGAGATCTAAAATCTGGGCTGTATTTATACTACACTATATAACACTAAACGGCTATCAAAGTTATTTTGGTGAAGTACTTGGAGATCAGTTATGCAACTCACATTATTGAATAATGGGTTAAAGTGCAACGTCTAAATTCTGTCTAAAAATAAACAGAATCTAGTCAGTTAAAATTAGGTCTAAAAAAAGCCTAGATGTCAAATCGCCGTCTGTTGCCCAGCGGGTTCCTGATCTTCTCTGAACTCTATAAACTTTAACAAGAGTAAGTCCTGCTTCTCTGAGCTCACCTTGAACCCTCACGAAACTCTGGAGGGTTTGAGCCGAATGTTTAGCTCTGAAAGTACCCCACCAAAACTAAGACCACCTGAACTCTGATTCACTAATGGGGGTCTTAAACTGGACCCCTTTTGACAGGACTTTAAAGATCAGGTTCCTCTGCTGCTAAACTGAAGAACAGAGGAGCAGAGACTCCAGAAGAACCAAAAACAGCTCAGATATGTCTCTTCTTCTTTGTGTTGATGTTTGTGACTAAAAAAAGCCCTCGGGCCTGCGCCTTAGCTCAGTCACATGGTCTCTAACCCCCCCACCCTCACCCTCACCCTCACCCCCACCTCCTCCTCCCTCTCTTCCCCTCTCTTGCTTTTAGCACGCGCTTGTGCTGAGAGGCCTGCGAGGAGCAGCAGCATAAAACTTGGGACATAAATCAGAGTCCCATAAATAATGGCCGTACTTCCCTTTACATCTCCGTTGGACTAACAGACAATAAAAACACCAATAAGCAGAGATTGGATCTAATTTATTGCCTCATAAAAAAAAAAGAGACGCAGCAGAGAGCTGAGCTCGGCTTCAGCGGCGCGCGCACTGCTGGAAACTGTACAGACAGGCTCGTGCAGACAGGTGGAGACAGGTAGAGACAGGCTGGAGAGGAGGAAGGTTCCAGAATTACCTCTGTGATTTAATGAAGGAGGAACAGGCAGGTGATCTGTCAAAGGACACCCAGAAGAGGATTATTTATGTCTGAGAGAGGATCTGTCTGATAAAATAAAACTATTATTATTATTATTATTATTATTATTATTATTACTATTATTATTAAAGCAGAAAGTTAAAGTAGTAATTACAAAAAACACTCTCAGGTCTTTAAATCAGGGTCTGTTTGTTTTTAGTGTTTTCTTCTCTCTTTATTCACTTCTCCTTTTTTTGTCCTTTAGTGTCAATTTTTTCTGGACACCGAAATTAAATAATTTAAAACCTGAAATATTAATTATATCAATTTAATTCCATATTAGCTGTAATTAAAAACGCACTGACGAGAGGCAGATTAAAACAAAAATACACGCCGTAGTAACAATTTAACGCCAGAGAAAGAAAACCGACTTTAATATAAAATATAATGAAAGAAAACTTTAGAAATATAATTCAGTAAAAAGTAAAAAATCACCGTTTTGAGTCCATAAAATCCAGGATAATTCCCACGAAACAACTAGCTTAAAAAACTTAATCTCCTCCTCAAAACTCGGAGAAAACCTCGCGAGAATTCCGCTAAAATGACCAAAAAACAATTTTAAAATTACAGTAAAATTAAAAAAAGATCATTTATATAAAAGTGAGTGTTTTTGAAGAAGCAGCTCAGTCAGCAGCCTGTCTCTCTCTCTCTCTGTGAGTGTGTGTTAAAGCAGCAGCAGCAGCCTCGGCCTACACACACTCTCCCTGAATAATGCTCCTCTCAATAGCTCCCACTCCCACACACATTTCTTTCTCTGAGAAAGAGGGGGCTGAGGTTAGTCTTCACAAACATGTCTTATCTCTTTCTTTCTCTAAACATTTCTCTGCGTAATTGTGGCGCGTAAAACAAAAACTGCGTAAAAATATAAACATGGAGGAAGATTAAACTAAGAGGAGAGAGAGAGATAGAGAGATAGAGATAGAGAGGGAGTGAGTCTGGAGGTTTTCTGGTTATTTGGGGAGAGAGAGAGAGAGAGAGAGGGTCTGCTGCTGTCAGCCTCTTTGCAGGCAGGGAAAGATTGATCACCGCACTTCTTTTTTTTCCACCCGGGGCTCCCCCTAAAATAGGCTCTCCTCTGCCGAACTCCCCAGCTCCTGGTCTTTATAAAAATCTACATGTGGGTCCTGTTGAGTCCGGACTCCTCTCACTGTTAGCCTTCAGATTATTACTGCTGCTGCTGGATTATTTCTGTTGTTAGGAGGGAGAAGGAGGCCTGCGCGCTGCCCTCCTTCTTCAGTCTCACGGAGCGACCTCGCTGTGAACTCCCTCTCTCCCTCTCTCTCCCTCTTTCTCTCTCTCTCTCTGTGCGTAAACACGCCAAACACTTTAACGTATATCACACTGAGACAGCGCGTCAGAGACAAACCAGAGACTCTCCATTTTCAAATTATCATCTAAGAAACACATAATAATCATAAAAATAGTCACTTACACACAGAAATGCTCTCTCTCTCTCTCTGTTTCTCTTTCTCTCTCTGCCCTCATCTTCACCAATCCTCCTCTTCCTCTAACTTTCCTGAGTGTGAGTTTGTGAGTGTTTTCAGCCTCTGTCACCCCTGATAAGATTAATGATCTGAGTGCTGTACACATCTGAAGAAGCAGCAGAAGAAGAAGGAGCCATATTGTAAACGCTCATTACATCACCCACAGGAGCGGCTAAAAATTCAGGGAGATGCTCTTTTGTTTGTGCGTAAAGAAAACCGGGCAGAGATGCGTCGACCTGCCGCCCACACTGCGCACATGGCGACCGGCAGCCTTGCCGATTATTCCCCCCTCTTTGTGCCCCCCGTTAGGATGAAACAATAGCAGCTATCCTGTGATGAAGCCACAAAAATAATAATGCTGCTTCCCACAGCCATCAACGCCGCCAGGCCCGGCCTACTGATTGGCTCTTTGGCGTCACATGACCAGGAATTGGCTGCAAATTCGCCCCATAGTTCTTCAGTTTAGCCTACCAGGGTCCCCATACGCTAGTAATATCACCAATATACACAATTATTATATAGCACCGCATTCACGCCTCTGCGGTCGGGAGCCTTCATGCTCGTGCGTTTTTTTATTTTCCTGAGAAGCCATATTGTGTAGTGTGCGTGTGTGAGCGTGCGTGCGTGCACGTATGTGTTTTCTTTTTTTATTTTGGGGAAGGGATTGTTCGGGGGTCTCGCCGTGTGAGGGTGATCCGGTCTGAGGGAGCTATGAATTTTGAATTTGAGAGGGAGATCGGTTTTATAAACAGCCAGCCGTCCCTAGCAGAGTGCCTGACGTCCTTCCCCGCCGTCCTGGAGTCATTTCAAACTTCATCAATCAAGGAGTCGACAGTAATTCCGCCTCCCTTCGAGCACACCATCCCCAGCCTCAGCCCCTGCACAGGCAGCCAGCCGAGACCGACTGCGAGGAGCCAGCAGAACCGGGGAACCTCCGTCACTAATGGCCTCCAGACGCACCACCGAGCTGCCCAGCAGCCCTGTCCGCCCGGTCAGGCCCCTGCCCCGGCTGCGGCTACCGCGGCCGGTCCGCTGGCCCACGAGTTCCCCTGGATGAAGGAGAAGAAGTCATCCAAGAAATGCCCCAAGCCCGGCGGCAGCTCCAGCGGTGCCGGACCCATCATCCCCCCCGCATCGTCCTCCCCGTCGCCCACAGCCTCTGGGTACGCTTCGGCGGGCATCGAGTCGCCCACAGGTCGGTATGCCGGGATGGGGGAGTGATGGGCGGGTGTGTGGTGAGGGAGTGCAGCCTGTGCTTTCAGGAATAACCTTCATTACAGTCCGTATCAAAGTGCTTACATGACATTGTCTTTTCCACCTCAGTGTGTGTGTGTGCATGTGTGTGTAGCTGTGTGCGTGTGATTGTATTGTGCAGTGTGCTGTGATGCTGTGTCAACAGGGAAGCCATATCTAGACCCCTGCATTATGCTGCAGTGCTGCTCTGCACACTCTGTCATCATGCATCTAAATATGCACCATTACAGCCTCTCCGTCATGTTTAGGATCAATATGTAACTTTGAGCTTCACTCTGAGTGCAGAGCTTTCACACCAGCAGCAGCAGCACCATCATCCTCTTACACCCCACAGCCTTCATTTACTTAATGCATTATCTTCATATATGAGGGGGATTTGTCGTGCGTAATTACGCACGGATAAGGAGTGTTTTTTGGAGCTGCAGCTGCATCATCCTGCTCACTGGCTGCTGTGATTTGCAGCAGCAGCAGCATCTCCCTGCTATTATATATTCATAACACAACTGAGATGGTGGCCATGTTGGATGGAGGAAGGAAATATAGTGGGAACAGAATATAGTGGGGTGGGGGTTGGGGGGCTGAACTCCATCCACACAGGATCCAGACTTTTTTAGTGGGTTTACATCATTTCTGTCTTTCACACACAACTCCACAACAATCACTCTAAATCCCACACACAATCATTTTTGTTTTCTCACTCGTGGAGCTGCTCGGCCTCTTGTTTCTGACAGACACCGCCACATTCGCTCCACATCGACATTCCCACATTTCCCCGCACATTTCCTCTCTGTCTGCTGATTTATTTATCCTCCTCTCTTTGCTTCTTTCTGTTAACGCGCCGCAGCCTCTCACAGCGGGCTGGCTGCTCTCTACCAAAGAGAAAAATCCCACCCTGACATTATGATCATCAGTCTTTATCTGCCTTTTCCTTTTTTTATTGTTATTATTATTTTACCAGCACCTAATTGGTCCGCTCTCACATTTATGGCTTTGGCTGCTGCCGTAATTGGAAGGAGTATTTTTTATGAGACTTTTGGTTTTATTACTGTTTTATTACAGACAGAGAAGCCGAGGGGATTCCTGCAGCAGCAGCAGCTTATTTCTTGGCTGGAAATCTTCCTCGCAATAAAAGTGTGTCTGTTTTACGGGCGCCTCTTTTGGAGTAGATTACAATTTGAGGTTTAAACGGAAAAATAAAATTATGATAAAAAATGAGAATAGCTTTAGGAGAGTTTGCACCATAAATCCTCCACATAATCTCCTTTATGTGTCTCTGTCTCCCCGCAGACCCGGGACAGGCGGGTCTGGATGCTGGAGGAGCCGGGTCCCGCAGGCTGCGCACCGCCTACACCAACACGCAGCTGCTGGAGCTGGAGAAGGAGTTCCACTTCAACAAGTACCTCTGCCGGCCCAGGAGGGTGGAGATCGCCGCTCTGCTGGATCTGACCGAGCGTCAGGTCAAAGTCTGGTTCCAGAACCGGCGGATGAAACACAAGCGGCAGACCACGCACCACCGGGACGGGAGCGGCGGAGGCCCGGAGTCCAGCGACCCGGGCGGGTTTGAGCCGCTCGAAGGCGCCGATGCCTCCTCTCCGTACTCCAGCCAGCCGCTGGAAGCTTCGGGCACCGGGGAGGCTTCATCCGAGAGCGAATCGGGGAGCGGCAATCCATCATCGGCCGCCTACACTGCTGACAGCGGCGACAATGCGCAGCCCACGCCGGAGGAGAGAGGCCGTGTGAGCCGCCCACCTCTGCCGGGAGCATCTGGCTCCTCTGACTCCCCGCAAGACCCGGGCCTGATGCAGCTCAGCGAGGCCGGGCCCGCGGCGGCACCGGCACCGGCCTCCGATCCGTCCTTCCCCGAGCAGCAGCAGGACTCCTCCATCAGCTCCTCCTCGGCTCCACCGGCCTCCTGCTCCTCGTCGTCCTCCTCCGCGCTCCCGGACCTGACCTTCTTCGCCGGGGACGCCTGCCTGTCCCCCAGCCTGCAGAGCTCCCTGGACAGCCCGGTGGATTTCTCCGAGGAGGACTTCGACCTGTTCACGAGCACGCTGTGCACCATAGACCTGCAGCACCTGAACTTCTGAGAGGAGCTGCAGGATTTTCAGAGAGCCGGACTGACTGACTGACTGACGGGCCTGTGTGGACGAACAATCGAGTGGACGGACGGACGGAGGAGTGTGTGTGATGTTGGAGAAGCTTCTCGGCAACATTCCTGAAACTTACAATTATTTTCGTTTTTAAAACATTTTTATTCTTTTTTTATTTGTTTTATTTTTGTGGTTATAATTTAGTTTAACAAATGCAGTCCGTTTTTATTATTATTTTTAATTATTTTGACACCGAGGGGGAATATTTTTGTGGAGGATTTTTTTTTGCCTAAATTTCAGGTATTTATTTCCCTTTTTTGCTTTTAAAAATTCCTGATTTTTTCGGACCTCTGGGTGGATTTGTTTGCTCTTTAGTGCGTCGTCCTGGTGCAGCTTCACGGATCTTACTAACCTCTCAGGAACTGTTCTCGGAGTCTTTGTGCAGAGAGCTGGACTGCTCTGGAAGAATGGAGAGCCCTGCTGATGACCCCACTTTTAGACCCTAGTTTATTTATTGAGATTCTTTAATAGTGAAAATTCAAATTATTTATTGTACATATATTTTCATAGTGGAATAATAATAATTAAAAACACACAAACATTTCAGACGTGGCCCGTGTTGTTTTGTTTTACTGCTGCAGGAAAATTCAGGGTTGTTGTTTTAATTATGGAAATATTAAAATTAGGTTTAAAACGGGAGAATAATTAATATCATAAAATACTAAATGTACTTTAAGATGTTTTAAAATTACTTTTAAATTATTTGGCTGCTATATGGAAAAAAATATTAATCTACATGATATTAATCTATTTTTTTTTATATGCAGGCATAAAATTAATTTGGTTTGTTTAGTTTTAATTCAATTTTAAAAGCAAAGTTTTGTTGTTTTATAATACAATTTAATATTCTAAATTAAATAATATTTTTAGCCTCTGATAATTGTTCAAATATGTTTATTTATATTTTGTCTTCAGTGCAGTTTTTAGGCTTTAATCCGTGTTTCCCACACTTTATCAGACATGGTTCTGTATTGGATCAGCTGATGTGTTTACACAGAGATAATAACCCTCAGATATTTTCCAGTCTGCAGGATTTTTCCCTCTGCCTCATGTTAGCATTGAAGCTAACTGTTAGCTCTCACCATGTGGGACACAAAGTGCCTTTCAGAGTGAGACAGCACTTCTGCAAGGACTGAGCTTAGCTTTAGCTTTAGCTCGGCTGTTTCTCTCCCATTGTTCAGACTTGTGGTGTAAATGTGTGTGTGAGTGTGTGTGGTGGTGGTGGTGTGTGTGTGTGGTGGTGGTGGGGGGGTTAGCATGGTTAGCTCCCTGCCGCTAATGCTGCTGCTAGCTGTGCTGCTAACTAGCCGCTCCTCCTCCCACAGAGTCAAAATGGCGCTGTGGACAAAGCAGGATGTGAACAATGAGCAGTGGCAGCCATTACAGGATGACTGGCTCACTGTGACAGGCTGAGTGTGTGTATGTGTGTAAGAGAGTGTGTGTGTATGTGTGTGTTAATGTGTGTGTAAGCTTAAAAAAAAAGGCTGCAGCATTAAGGCCATCTGTGTCTCACAGCTTCTGCTACCTTGAAATAAGAAATACCTTTATTATATTTATCCTGCGGTTAAGAACAAAAACTGAAGAAATAAAAATAATAAAGAAATGTTTTTAGGGTATATTAATATTCTACTGCTCTGCATTTTAATAATAACTATAATAATAAATAAAAATAATAGTAATGCAAAACTATCAGCCAAGTATTCAGTACAAAAAAAAACTCCTTTTTAAGTCTCAGGTTTAGGTGAGCTCAGACAGGTGTAATCCAGACTAAAATTGAGCGTCTCAAATAAAATCGGAGTTTGTTGATATTTTTGTGTTAAAGGAAACAGGATTGCTAATTTATGTCTATGTGACCTTAAAGGTCAGGTTTGCAGACCAACAGCAGGTGAGTTGTTGCTTTTAAGATAAGAATTAAAGCCTCATTTTGGATCTGACTGGTGTCTATATGTGTGTAAATAAACAGATGACTCCTCTAGTGGTCAATGCAAGGAAATGCATCTCTTCAGGGGTCATAGAGACCGACATTAATATGAACAGAAGTGTGTGAAAACATCACAGAAAAACTCTGTAATCATTAAAACTTAACGTCAGCATAGAGACTGAATGGAAGGTTAGCGAGTTAGCGAGTTAGCGGCCTGTTAGCGTAGCTGCTACAGCGTCACAATGTTCCAGTTTACTTCCATCTAATTGGATAAAGCTTTAGAGACTCTCAATGAAGTTAAATGTTGGATATCTTAAAGGAGTCAGAGCCGCTGGGATCACAGTGACTTTCAGGTGAATTTAACGGTAAGTCGTCTGCATACATGTGAGCGTAAACGTCACAAACGTCAGCGATTTCACCCTCCGTTTCAGACAGGAGACGCTTTAAAGCCCAACAATGACCGGCGCCATATTTGCAATGATGACTCGCTGACCTAAACACAGAGAAGCGGAGCTGAGGTGATCTTTAAGCTTCCTGTCAAACTGCAACAACATCCACCAACATCAACCTACACACTTTTATACACAACTACACACATTTATACACGACTCTGATGCTCTATAAACACACTCACCTTCTTAACAGAGCGAACAAAAGAGTAAACGAGCTGAACATCCAAAACTGTTTTTGTAAACAGGCTGAACTTTGCTGCTTTAGCACAGGAGCTCATGGGAATTCTTTCACTTTTGTGGACAGCCCCTAGTGGACACTCAAGGAACTGCTTTGTTTTTAAATACCAGAGATTCACACTTTGTAGTAAAGAGAAATAATATTCTTAATAAACAAAATAAGTTCTGGAAATAGAATCATTTTTTAAGTGAGCTTTTAAGTGACAAATGACAGAATCAAATATCTACATCCCGTCTTTTTATCCTCTTTCCTTCAGATTTTAGGACTGCATAAAATCAAAGATGATAAAACGACTGATCTTCAGGTCTAAAACTCATTTTTAAATCAGTTCTCCTCTCCTTATGATCATTATAAAACCTTCATCTGTGTACAGGACATTACTCCACCGTTCATGACTCATGATTTCTTAAAGCAGTATCTATGGAAAATTTAACTCACCTCACAGGCAGATTTCTCTGTTTGAGACGTCCAGATCGGCGCTGACTCGTCTGAGGTCCACACATGTGAGCGCAAGTCTCAAACCGTGTACATTCGGTTCCCATGACGATCAAACACCACAACACACCGCATGTTCTACCTGCAAGAGAAGAGAGACAGAAAAAACATGTTAGTTTAAGGATCACAGGCTCCGTCTCCACTCACATCAGGATGATTCGATTCATTTCATTTCAATAACTTTACAGAAACGGTCAGTGAAACTGTGCAGGATCACACTTAACCGAGCTGCTGCGATTCTCAAATACAAACAGGACATGTAAGAGTATGAGCACACAGTTTGTACAAGACTAATCAAAGAAAAGCTGAAGTAAAATCACAGGTTTGTCCAATAACATCCAAGAGAAACGCAGATTTAACAAAAACAGACACGTCTGAGGCTTCCTGCTCGGCTCAGAATAAAACCTAAAAACATGAAACTTCAACAAAAAAAAAAACAGACGCCTCTTTCCAACTATCGTACAGCAGACTGTACGGTTCAGCCTGATTCATCACTGTGAACTCTGGATGCTAAAGGAGCGTCTGCAGTAAAAAGATGCAGCAGAAACATTCAGTCTGACAGGAAACCTCTTCATAGACTCGAGAGGATGTCCTTTAGGATGCTACACATACTTTAAACCCCATTTTAAACAAAATACTCTTTATTTCACCCAAGACAGGTATAGATTTACTTCTACTTAAATAATCCTTCATCAGAGTACAACATTTTAGTCCTCTCTACGATCCGAACGGTCTTCTGCAGACACAAAATCAGCAGCCAGGAGACCGTGTTTCCATAATCCACTCTAGATTAATACAAAAACCATAATACCTTGAACTTCACATAAAAAACAAACACAACTTTGAGGATATCTACTTTAATTTTCAGATTTGACTTTTGACAGATTTAATGTGTGTTTTATCTGGAAGTTAATTAACTGAACGCAGGTTGTTTCTTCAGCTGAAACCTCATCTTTGCACTAGTTTCAGACATTTTAAAATCATCACATAAAAGGTCGTAAAGATCTCTGTGATAGTCTTATTTAATTTTGGAGATCATGAACAGACATCAGGGTGAATTTAAAGACCTAAAAAAAACTCTTTATTGAAGCTTTAAGTGAAGAAACTGAGATTAAACTGAGAGTTAGTGAACGTGAAATCAAACAGGAATAAAACTGGGATGTACAACAACACACACACACACACACACACACACACACACACACACACACACACACACACACACACACACACACACACACACACACATCCTCTCTGCCGTTACCATCCGTCTGAGTGTATCTTGTAGACAAAGAGATTAAAACAGCAGAGTACATCTCTACACTGGGAGACATATCGCAGCCTCTGAGTGCCTAAGTGTGTGTGCACGTGTGTGTATATGTGTGTGTGCATGTGTGTGTATATGTGTGTCTCAGTAATCTCTCTCTCCTGGCTGTCACCGCCTGTCGGCCCGTTGCCATGCTGCAATACATGAACCGCTTTTTTATCTCCGCCATCGCCGTCACCATCACTGTTATGATTTTTACCTGTGTTTTTGTGAGTGTGTGTGTATATGTGTGTGTGTGTGTGTGTAATATTGCATAACTCAGTCCTGATAGATCGCCCACTTAGCAGGAGTGGTAAAATATGTGAGCGGTGGATTTTTATCAACGAGAGCGTGAAGAGGAAACTTTCCCCTCAGACACACAGACAGCCTGTAAGTCAGGATGCAGTTCCTCGTGTGTCCACTAGAGGCTGTCTCCTGAAGTGAGTCACTCTCCATAGAGGCTCATATAAAAATGTCTAAGTTTAGAGTTAAAATCAGCATGTTTACACACAGTTTAGATCTCTG